GATTCGTTCAGTCTGGATGCAGTGAGGTGCTGCTGTGAGAGGAGCCCACAGCAGCACAGCTGCTCCGTGAGACAGTAGTAGGAAGCTGTGTGCTTCATGTCAGAGTCTCCAAAAGCAACACTGCTCATGGCCACCTTTGTTTTGTTTTGCCCCGCCCACATGCTCAGAGAAATCCACATTCCTGAGAAGGCTGTGTGAAGTAATCCTGACCGAGCAGGGATGGACCAACCTAACCAAAACCGGACTTGGCCGATCCAGATGTGAATGCACCACAAGTGGACAGGAACACCTGAAAGTGGGGAGGAAATTATGTCAGGGACTGGAGAGATAAAGGAAACGGGACATGACGAATTTTGTTCAAGATTGAACGCTATGCTAATCCGCTCCAGTACACTAAAGATAAATCTCATTTCAGTCCCCGCCCTCCTCTTCCACAGTTAGCTTGATTTAATGCGGGGTGAGTTAGCACTTAAGCTACGTGGGTATGCTTGGCTCATGTAGGAGCGTCTGCATCATCCTGTAGTGCATGCGGGGAACTAGGGTGCGTTCTCACTGACAGGATTAGGGTTACGGTTAGGATTAGGGTTAGGGATTTGCATATCTATGAGTCACTGCTGGGCCTCGTGTGTGTCCTGCTGCAGAGGCCAGATTAAATCACATTACATAATATAGAACAGGGTCAGAGTCAAATTTAAGCATTTTTAAATTACTTTCAAATTAAAAAACAACAGAACATCTTGTTTATTTTATTTAGCGCATTCAATGTCTTATTTTTTAAGAATCCGAAATAGCTGCTTTAATGACATCAGGCTACAAAATGGTGCTCCATAATTTTTAATGCAACTTTCTCCAGATTCAGACACGTGTTTGGATATTGTTGCACCTTTTTTGTTTGATTGTTTTTAGGGGTGTGAGATTTAGCCTCAGAGTTATATTAATGAATTTGTGAGTGGTGTGCCCACTAGCGAGCATCATTAACTGCACACGATATTATAATTCATAGCAGTGAAGTTTGACCTCGGTCCCTTTTCATTAGACTGGTCTCACTCTTCGCAGGGCGAGAAGGGCGATCCAGGCTCAGAGGGCGACTCAGGAGACAGAGGTAAAACTGGCTTGAAAGGAAAGGAAGGCCCACCTGGTCCTTTTGGACTTGTGGGGGTGAGGGTGAGTGTACCAAATCCGTCTCTCACTTCCAATAAAAAGCTGCTCTTTTTGTCCACTTAAACCCCATTTTTGATTTTCCTTAACCAGGGTCAGGAGGGCAAACCTGGCAAAACTGGGGAAGGAGGAAAGCCAGGGGAAAAGGTTTGTGGACTGACGTGCTAGCACCTGCCATGTTGGTGTCTCTCCGGTTACTCCTTTGTGTGGGGAGATGAATGTGTCGAATGCAGCTGTAAAACATCTGTTTTAGCATTAAATCATCAGATTCATCTAACGTCTGTTTATACAGACCTGATCAAGGGACTTCCTTTCTTCAGGGGGGCAAAGGTCAACAAGGCCACGTGGGTGAGCCTGGGTCAATCGGCGATCAGGGAGGAGCGGGATTTGTTGGACAGAAAGGAGCGAGAGGAACCGTTGGAATGGTGGTATGATGTCAACAGAAGAGATGAAGGGTGTAATGAATTCCCGTCTATGGGAAGAACTTTTAAATATAAATTTATTTCTTTAGGGCGCTCCGGGGAAAATGGGCCAAGGAGGCGATCCGGGCAACGCGGGTTACGAAGTAAGTTTTTCATTTTAGGCGTGTCGTTGCTGGAGGTCGTGAAAAGACCTCGGGCTTCCAGGACTTTTGAGGTTAAAAAAATAAAACTGTCTACTCTTTAATGTAAACCTTTTCTAATCCACACATTTGAGCTGCTTCCGGCCTTTTTATAGCTTTAAATATAAAAAAACAACCTTCAAAGTTCACATTTTACAAAGAACATTGTTGAATGACACCACTGACTTGCTGGCAGATGTTCCTTTTCCTCTATTATTCATTTTTATGTCGTTATGCTATGTCATGTTATGCATGGCATAATTCTTCTTGGCTGCAGGGATTTTTGAAACTCTTTGTTGCCATAGAAACTGACTCTGAAACCCTATCCAGCTCAGTGGCAGAATTCCTTGAACAAACCCTTGACACGTATTCACCGATGTCTTCCATCATTTGGTTTTTCCATGCATGCAGCGTTATTCTAACATTACTATACGGCCAAAAAAGTCACCACCGAAAAAAAGATCACAAACTCTAAAATGTCTTTTGACCACCTTTAGCTTTGATTATGGGATGCATTCACGGTGCTAATGTTTGGATAGGCTTCTGCAAAGATTTATTTCCATCTAGTGTTGCATTAATGTTTCACCAAGATGTTGCGTTGTTGATGATAGAGTCTGTCTGCTGCACAAAGCCTTCTCCTGGTGGCCAACTCATGAGTGAAAATGATGTCTCATGCTTCCTGAACCGCTCTTTCATTAGAACCTGATGAATCCTGGCATTGTCATGTTGGAATATGGCCGAGCCGTCAGGGAAGAGAGAATAACCTGGTCCTTCAGTATATTCAGGTAGTCAGCTGACTTCCATGGAGCACGTTGTAGTGGAGGCAAATTGATGATTTTATCTGTTATGACCACGAAGACGTAATATTCTATATAAATATAAAATATTAACCTGGGAGGTCTTTGTTGTAATTATCAGAAGATCTAGGTTCTTTGCTTGTTCAGTGATCAACCACACTTCGTGTTACTTCAAGAAAGTCGGGTTTATAAAAGTAAGAATTTATTTTACAACAATTTAAAACATGACTAATTGGTTAACTATTATTTATTGTGAGTGGGTGGAGCTAAAGGTAATGTCTGGAACATATGTGTGGATACATCACCCGTATTCAGAGAGAGACCCTCTTGGTGGATCCGAAAGTCGCAGGGGTCGGCTGACCTCTGGCACCGGAGGCCTGTAGAACACCGTGGTACCGACTCTTCAGTCCAGAGATGTCTCGGGTCACAACAGCTGGATGGAACCGTGCGTCTGGCGGACTCTTAAGGAGTCTAAACAGTATCAGCTTTGTTCTGCAGGAACTGTTTGCTCATCAGCTTCGCAGGTGCAAAAAGGCTTTGACGACGTGTCGAAATCTTTGACGGTTAAAGAGGTTTTGCTACAGATGGCCGGTCTGAGCGATTCTCTAGAACTAACAAATTACTCAAAGTAATTTAGTTTGAAAGAACTGATGTTATGATTTGGACAGCCAATCAGAGGCTGACAAGTTTGGAGATGTTACCAAGGCAACTCAGAAACACGCCCTCTTTGATACAGGATGTTCTGACTGGTTAATACACGTGTGTCAGGGTTTAACTTAGCCGTACGTGTTATGTGAGGATGCAGGGGTGGAACCTTGTCGTCAAAACATGGTGAACACATGGCAGGTTCTAGTAGACAAACATAGCATCCATTCAGTGAGCACAGATCAGTGAAGCATTTCATTATACTATAATTATCATAAGTAGTAATAAACAAATGTTTATTTGATGATTATCTAGGTTATAAGTCATAGAAGGAGTTCATGTTGATTTAGTAAATGATTCTTGAATTTAGCAATGAATCGGAGCTGGAGTTGGAGCCTTCTTGAGGCAGACCGATGAGACCTTGGGAGAGAAAGTTATTGTTTATCTTTCAGACCAGCAGCGTCTGTGAGTCCCAGCTGGTGTGAAGGCAGGCTCATTTAAAGGGAACACATGCAGTGTTGTGTCTCCTTTCTGACCAGATGTTAAATAAATGGGAAAAGGTCAGGCTGTACCTAAACTGACCATTGCTGGACGTTACAACATCCTGTTGCTGAACCTAGACCTGACCAGCTGCAGCAATCCCAGATCATAGCACTGCCCCCACAGGCTTGTACAGTAGGCACTTCATCTGCCCCTCTTCTTACCCTGATGCACCGTCACTCTGGAACAGGGTCCATCTGGACCCATCAGACCACATGATCTTCTTCCATTGCTCCAGAGCCCAATCTTTATGCTCCCTAGCAAATTGAAGCCTTTTTCTCTGGTGTGTCTCCCAGATTAGTGGTTTTCTTACAGCTACACAGCTGTTCAGGTCCGTTCACACTGTGCGTGTGGAAAAGCCCTTAATTTCACTTTTAAACATATCCCTGAGTTCTACTGTTGCTTTTCTTTGATTTGATTTAACCACATGTTTAAGCTTTATCATTCAATCAAGTGAAGCTTTCATTTTCCAACAGGGCCACATGGGACCACTGGGCACACTTGGACCTCCTGGACCAAAAGGTGAAAAGGTACATCCTTCCTGGCTGTTAATTTGCAATCCCTAACAGCTGACTGCAGTTGGACTGTGCTATATGAGCTCTGTCGTGCTGCACATCGCTCTAATTGGATGATCGAGGGATTTTTGGACACTCTGGTACTTGGTTCTGTCCCTAGTTCGTACTTTCTTTGTCTCAGCTTTCTCCAAGTTACCTCTAAATTGATCGGTGCTTTGAACATGGACAAACCCAATTACCTCAGCTCTGTATATAATTAGCCAAACACCTGGATGAAGCAACTATTTTTGCAAATATTAGCTACATAATGTGTGTTTATTTGACAGGACTATGTAATAATACACACTGCACCAGAATTTAGTGAAGCACCAATTAGCATATTTTTGTCCCTGGGCAGAAGCCATCTGGATGTGGATAGTTGTGGTTTTATCAGTGCCAGTATCCTCGGTCTAACTGCTGTGCTTCTGCTCTAATTAAATCAATATCATGCTATCACACGGGCCATTGCAAAATGTATGATTGTCAATTTGGCACCAGGTAATCCTGGCGCTAAAGACATGCTGTTGAAACAAATAAATTACATTTTGAATGACTAAAGAAACAATTTATTACTTTTAATTTTTAACGTAATTGAGAGTTTTTCGTTGGCTCCTGGCTTTCGTTGATCGCTCTCCCTATTTTACAGTCGTTATTGGTTTCTTTGTTTTTCATTTCATTTATCACATGTGTAGCAAAACCATTTAATTACACACATTTGTGGCTATTGTTTAATGAATCTTAACAAAAGTCCTGAGGCAGCCACTGGCTCCACTTATGTGAAATTGGATTGTTGTGGGGAATAGCTTTTCTAATCATTTGCCACTGAGATGAAAAACATGCATTGTCTCTTTCTATTCTTTCTTCTAAGGGTAACCAGGGAGATGACAGCAAAGTAGAGGGCCCCCCAGGTCCCCAAGGTGACAGAGTGAGTCTATAGCATGAAATATATTTTTGTCTGACATTTAGTCACAATGGTCTGATTTGTTGAGCTGCTGCTTTTTCTGATGGGAATTGAGGGTCCTTCTGGAGACGGAGGAGAGAGAGGAGAGCCAGGTGACCCAGGACACATTGTGAGTAAAGGGGCAGTTTATTGAAACGTTTTGTTTTGGAGGGTAAAGGAAATGTTATCAGTGGTTAAAATATATATATATATATATATATATATATATATATATATATATATATATATATATATATATATGCATATATTAGGGCTGCACAATATATCGCAAATATATCACTATCGCTATATCAGCATGCACAATATGCATATCGCAAAGAACAGATAAATATCACAATGATTGGTCAGCTCATATGTTTGCTACACATGATGCATTCTGTCAAACGGAAGCATGATGTTTTTTTTAACAAATCAAATTGAGCTCTTCACCCATTTGGCCAATTGGGTGGGTTCTCATAGGTTAGATGCCCGCCCCCGAGGCGGACGGCACTTAATTTTGTCACTGTATGGGGAAGGTGTCTAACCCAAGACATGCAGAATCAGACTGTACACAGATCGATGAGGAAAAAAATAAAATTTTATTGTTGGATGAATGATAACTAAAGGTGAACTGGAAAATCCACCGGATGAGGAATGGGAAGGCAGCATCTAGAGGGGAGAGCAAACCAGAGGCGAGTCCTGGGAGATTGAGTCCAACAGGGAATGCTGAGTGGTGACTTACGGAGGGGTTCTAGGAGAGTGAGGGGAGGTAGTGAGCCGTGGTGTAATCCAAGATGGGCGTTTGGAGCTGGAGAGGGAGTGAGGAGTCGATGGAGAGCGGGTCAGTCAGGATGGGTGGATGGACGAACGTAGAAGAGGAGCCGGTGCGGAGTCCTATGGAGTCTGGTTGAAGGATCCTGAGGCGTAGATAAACCTGAGGTAAGGTGAACCAAAAAACATCCAAAAATTACATGAAGTCCAAATATTCACACTATAGCACTAGAAAAACCTGGAGACAAGTATGAGGGCTGGAAACTACCAGTCAGTAGCAATCATCCGGCGTCGAGTAGTGTTCACCATCCTCCTTATGAAGCTGACCCGCTGATTAGCTGACAAGGTACAGTTGCCGCTCGCTCTCCTGCAAAAAAAAAAAAAAAACACTCAGAGATGTTGAGAATGGGAAGAGTACTCACCCCGGCTCATGACAGTACCTGCCGGTATGAGCCCAGTGTATGACCTTGCTCCTTATCGACTGGGGCACATACAACTTGCCTGGAGGTCCGTTACAAGGACCGGGGTCCACCTTGAGGGCCTCCAATACTTGGTCCTTGACTTCCCAGGTGGCCCCTCCCATAACACATACTGGGGGTAGGATTGTGGAGGGTTCTGCGTCCTGCTCAGGGGCATACTGTCTGGAGAGAGCGTCGGGCTTGGTGTTTTGGGAACCTGGACGATAGGAGATTTGGAAATTAAACCGGGAAAAGAAAAGGGGCCACCTGTATTGATGTGGATTGAGCTGTTTTGGCTCTTTTAGGTGAACCAAGTTCTTGTGGTCAGTCCAAATGATGAATGGCCACTCAGCGCGCTCCAACCAATGACTCCACTCCTTGGTGGCAAGTTTTACAGCCAGCAGTTCGCGGTCCCCAACATCATATTGGCTCTCAGCAGATGTCAAACGACGCGAAAAGATAGCACATGGATGGAAGCGTTGATCCGCCAGCGAGACCTGGGACAGCACAGCTTCCACCCCGGTGTCCGAGGCATCCACCTCAAGGGTGAATTGATGCAGCGGGTCTGGTCGGTGAAGCACGGGAGCATTGGTGAATTTCTTCTTCAGGGTCTGGAAAGCTGTGTCTGCTTCTGGGGACCAAACAAATGGTTTGTTAACCGAGGTCAGGTTGGTTAACGGGCGGGCGGTTTGGCTGTAATTCCTGATGAACCTTTGATAAAAATTAGCAAACCTCTGTAACTGTTTCCGTGTGAACTGCATGGGCCACTCCGTGACTGATTGCACCTTCTCTGGATCCGCCTTCAACCGCCCGCTCTCAATGATGAACCCCAAGAACTTAACAGTGGGAACATGGAAAACACATTTCTCGGCCTTGACGTACAGCCTGTTCTCTAACAGGCGCTGTAACACGGCTCTTACACGATGGGTGTGTTGTTCCTTGGTCTTAGAACAAATCAAAATGTCGTCCAAATACACCATCACACAAGCAACTTTCTAGGGGTGGCCATGGCCACTCCTGGCCACCCCTTGGGGGCGCCCTTGCCTAACCCTTAACCTAACCATAACTCTAAAACAACCATAAAAATCGTGCTACACAGATTCATTTCAGAAATTATAACACGTAAAACATACATTTTTGGTGACAGGGTGGTTATGGTAAGGGTAAGGGTTTTTTGTTAGTGGATGGTTCCAACTTGCGGCTGGGTGGAAATGAAAAAGGTCATATATGGTGACCACTAGCTTGTTCAAATAGAGACTGGATCCAGACTCCGATTGGTTCTTTTCTAATCCCGCCTCTCCCAAATGCTGATAGGTTCTTTTTTATGTTAGCCTATCTTTTCCATTTTCTGACTGTATTTTCATTAATGTCAATTATCGTTGTTGCCTTTATTTACTGATGGGAAAAATTTTGATTTTTCAGGGTGAAACAGGTCTAGATGGACCTAGAGGTGAAATTGGTGCTCCAGGTCTTCCTGTAGGTTCTCACTCAGAATCATGTTAAACCAAAAGTAATCAAACAACTACGTGATCTTCACATTAAACCATAACGATCGTTTCAGGGACATCCTGGGACCAAAGGACAAGCTGGTCTCAAAGGATTCAAAGGGGATCAAGTAAGGACCAAAACACATCATTTTATGAAAGTTTGAGTCTGAGAAACAACATTGCTCTGTAAAATAAATATTTTAGTCTAATATCTCAGAGCATGGATTTGACTGTTTTCAGGGTCCAAAAGGAAAATCAGGGGCAACAGGTGCATCTGGGGCCAAAGGACCACCAGTGAGTTGGACACAGTAATACTATAAATGTCATCCTGCATTCAGGTTTAATTAGTATGTTAACACAGCAAACTTTTGAAGAGTTCTTGTTGCGTTTTCAAGGGTCCAGAAGGCCCCTCGGGTCCACGCGGGGTCCTGGGTAGGGAGGGACTGGAGGGTCTTCCTGGAACGGATGGTTTATCAGGAAACGATGGAAGCAAAGGAGTCAAAGTGAGCATGTTGTCTGACACGTTTCAGAGAGCGCAAAGAAAAATGATTCTATTTTTTATGGAAACTGAGAAACTGTCTGCAATGTTTTTAGGGGGAGCAAGGAGATGACGGAGAGGTGGGTTTACCTGGAAAACCTGGGATGCAAGGAGAAAGGGGTGTGATGGGACTTCCAGGAGATCAAGGCTCTCTCGGTCTCAAGGTGGGAAAGATGTTTTTTTTATTCATTTTAATTTGTTTTAAAGCTGGAGTTCATGTTTACAGTAACATAAAAATGTTGAAATTTGACTTGGTGACCATGGTCTGGAATGGGAAAAGTGTAGAATGCCTTCTCCAAGTCAGGGATGAGGTCCTGCCCCAAGTGGAGGAGTTTAAGTATCTCAGGATCTTGTTCCTGAGTGAGGGAAGGATGGACCATGAGACTGATAGGTGGATTGGTGCCGCGTCCGCAGTGATGTGGCCGTTGTACCGGTCTGTTGTGGTGGAGAGAGAGCTGACCCAGAAGGTGAAGCTCTCCATTTATTGGTTGGTCTAAGTTGCTAGCCTCACCTATGGGCTGGGCGATATGGCCTAAAATCAATACAATGATATATTGATGATTTCCCCTCGATAACGATAAATGGACGATAGCTACAGTCCACTAGATGGGGCTGTCACATGTATTACGTTGAGTCACATTTTTACTTGACTCAAGGTGGTACAGCGTCTTAAAGGGACATGAACGTTAGCAACCCACACACATCTTTACAAATTTTTATTAACAAATTTATTGACATGGGACAAATTCTCAATTAGACTCAAAAATTTTGATGATGATAAATCTTCGATTTGTTGTCCAGCCCTAGTCAGGAGCTTTTGTTAGTGACCGAAAGAACAAGATCGCAGATAAAAGTGGCCAAATAGACTTTTCTCTGCAGCGTGGCTGAGCTCCCCCTCAGAGAGCAGGTGAGAAGCTTGGTCACCCGGGAGGGGCTTGGAGTAGACCCGCTGCTCCTCCACATCCAGAGGAACCAGTTGAGGTGGCTCAAGCATCTAGGACTAATTAAAATAGAGTAAAAGATGTTGCTGATATGCGAGTGCAGATTTCCTGCTTCCCCACTTTATCGTTGTAGATTTGATTCAAACAATCGACTAGAAACTCCTGCAGAACCCAGCGAATGCTGATGAGATGAGTCAGCAGTTTTTATCAAGTGTGGCTGAGCAGGAACATATCAAAAACATGAGGCCCTCTGTTAGAATATTTACTAAGTAATCATGGTGTAACCATGGACACATTGCTTGGTGTGTGTGTGTGTGTGTGCGTGTGTGTGCGTGCGTGCGTGCGTGCGTGCGTGCGTGCGTGCGTGTGTGTGTGTGTGTGTGTGTGTGTGTGTGTGTGTGTGTGTGTGTGTGTGTCTGCTCTGTCTTCTCCATCCCCAGTGAGTCGTGGAGGATGGCTGCTTATACTGAGCCAGGATTCTCTGGAGGTTTCTTCCTGTTAAAAGGGAGTTTTCCTCTCCACTGTCGCTGCATGCTTGCTTAGTATGAGGATTGCTGTATAGTCACTGACACTAGTCAGTGACTTGATGCAATTTGCTGTGTTCCTTATATAGGAAACATTATTTCTGATTGGCTTAATGAACTGACCTGAATTGGAATGTTTATCATGTGAAGGTCCTTGAGACGACTCTTGTCGTGATTTGGCGCTTTATAAATAAACTTGAATTGAATTGAGTTGTTAGCACTAACGGTATTTGTGTGTGCATGTGCGGTATGAGGCCTGGCTTTTAGCTCCTTCCTGAAGGAAAGGGGGAGCGGGGCGGGAGCTACAGCCATTCACATCTTCTCTTCCTCTTCTTACTACGGACCCCAGCTTTAGCAAAGTTAAATTATTGCACAGTAAATTAAAACCTCACAATGTAGTCCAATTCATTGCCAATAACATTTGTAATTGTTAACAAGTTTAATTATTACAAAATGAGCTCCCTGTAATGTTTAGGGGCGAACTCTAAAACTAGACTATTTTAGAATGCCCTGGTAGTCTAGTGCATGCTTTTGTGAAGTTTGTGTTGCCAAATATTAATGAGTAGGTAGACTGTGTGTCATGACCTTGCCAGTGTTATATAAACTATAATCTAAATCACTTTTGACAAGCAGAGCAAAGCTGTGTTCATTTGTTTTGTGGTAATAAGCAGGGGCGGCGTTAGGCCCGACTACTTGGGCTCAAGCCCCGGATCTTCTTCAGTCCTAAATCCGCCCCTGGTAATAAGCAGTTTTCACCACCCTGTTTACTCACGCTGTGAAGTTAGCTTTTGCTCATTTAGGAAACTTTGTTTTGTTTTGGATAGCTTGACGGTTAATACTGACTCTAAATCACCTGGATGATTTAGGGAATAAACCCAGGCCAGATCAGAAGTTTGAGATCAGAGACGGGGGTGAAAGGTCACGAGGATGCTGGTTTCTGTCTCCCCAGGGAGAGAGAGGTATGCCAGGCCAAACTGGTCCCGCTGGAAAGAGAGGCTCTGTTGGCACAATGGGATTTTCAGGAAAACAAGGAGATCCGGGAGCTAAAGGACAACCAGTTAGTGCACTTTCTTTTTCCAGTCATTAAAATTGCTCAACTCCTTCATCTATGACCGTGCTGTTCTGCGTGTGTTTCTCAGGGGGGTGGGGGGCCACAGGGCTTTCCAGGGGTGGTGGGAATGTTTGGACCAAAGGTAAGTTTCCATCATTTCCATTTGTTTCTCAGGTTTTACTTTTCCATCCATCAACTTTTAGTTTAGGCTACAAATCTGCATCAGAGGCAGGAAAAGGACTTGACAGTGGTTTCCAGGTTAGATAAAAGTGCTTTTCTAGAGTTTAAACATCTGAAATGACCAGATTATTTAGTCTGTGGAGCTGTGGGTTATCACTGTGATGGCGAGTTCTCCTCTGCCATCAGCTGGTTTGACTCTCAGCTCTGCAGCCCCATAGATCCTAACCAGCTGAAGAAACACAACACAGTCCATTAGTTTAAGTCTGTAATGCAGAACATTCAGAGTAAAACCAGGTATGTTCCTTGCCGATGGGTTCTGTGTGAAACTGCGTAGCTTAGTTCTCAGTAACTGATCTAACCTAGAAGCAGATGGTTCTGGCAATTAACTAATAAAGTGCAGATGTAAAGCAAAGTTTAAGCGTCTTTAAACCCTTGAGTAGGTCTGTTTATCATTGGAAAGGAGAGGAATTTGACAGGTTGTGACTTCAGCTGGATGTAGTTGTTAGTTTTCATTTCAGCACAGTCTGAGTGGTGTTAGCCAGCGATGCGCACTCACAGGAGACGCCCGTAAAGAGGCCGTGTCACGTTTTATTGGGCCGTGTCATTTAGGATTGCCATGTTGGCCGTATCGTTCTGTTTGGGAAGTTAAGTGCGCTCAACTGAAGCGGTGTCTCACAGAGCTGACTGTTGGTGACACACGACAACAGCAGAGTTGTTACAGGTGAAAGGAATCCTAGAAAATGCTTTTAAGTTGGTATTTAATGTGTTTGAGAAGTGCCTTAAAAGCTTGAAACTGCAACAGAAACTGGTTATGGCACAATCATTTTCATTTTCATGGTAAAAAAGAATTGTTTTGAACATATATTCACTGCTCCTGTAAATGATCAATGATGCAATGTGCTAGAACGTTCTTGGATGTGATACTGGAAAAGGTCAAAGAAAGCAAGAGTCCCTAGTTGCCTTGCATCAAAAGGCAGTGCATCCCCGTTGGTGCTGGAATTAGGAACCTCTTCATCAAAATACAAACTCCCAACAGACCTCTCAACACGGTCTCAAACACTTCTCATTTTAGTTTCCCATGAGTCCGAAAGATCAAAAATGTAAAGAAAACTAAACAAAAACCGTGAATATTTGAATTCAGCTCCGTTTATCGGAGTCATCTGAAGGCGCTTCACAGGCAGTTACTTCACAGACCCCGTGTGACGTGACCATCTCTAAAAGGGCTTTCAAATGACCAATTCAGTGTGATTTCATCTGAAAATGTGTATATTTACTTCCAACTGCATGTCTCCAAGTAGTCACCCACAGTGCCAGCCCGTGCTACGACTAAACTCAGCTCACAATAAGTTGTTAGAAATTAGAAATATGAAAAGAAACAAAAACACAACAACAAAACGTGTTTTTTTGTTGTTTCAGGAACAAAAAGTTGGCTATGCAGGGGCTAAACTATTGGCTGATCATGTCCATTTAAGAACAACAACCAAAGCCAACCTCCCACACTTATTACTGCTTACTTAACATTTGTTTAAAGTCTACCGTGCACATCTTCTGCACTCAGAGTCATTAATGCGTTTCCAGGGTCCCCCAGGAGACAACGGCCCATCAGGGATACAAGGACCAAAAGGACCTCGAGGACTGATGGTAAAATGAAGATTAATAGCAGTTCGGAGACTCTGCGCATTATTTCCGCCAACGCTGGCGCATCGAACTCTCACAAACTGCACACTTGGCGTGAAAAATAAGTGCAGCCTCATCAGCTGCTTCATCATACGTGTCCTTATCCACTAACATGCCTCTGCTTCCCAGGGTGTGGAGGGAGCGTTTGGCCCCGGTGGCATCATCGGGCCCAGCGGTCATCCAGTATGTACCTCATCTCTCATCCCACCTGCCAAGCTTTACGTGGCTCCTCTTGGCTTTCTGGCAGTGATGGAGTGATCGTCTGTCTTCTCTCTCTCCATCAGGGACTCCAGGGTGACAAAGGAAGTCGGGGGGAGGCGGTGCGTGGCGCCGTTTTGATGAATCCCTGTCTGTCTGTACTGTGAGCACAGAATAGGATACTTAGTATGGAGACAGCACACCGCTCAGGCTCCGCTGCCTTCAGCGCTTTTCATTTCCTATTGTGTTGCGCTGGTTGTTGTCACACTCACAGTGACACTTAGCTGCTGTGGAGTCCTGTCAGTGTGATAAATGTTGGCCGCTCGCTCATCTCAAGCTTTATGAGAGGTTTGTTTGAATGCCTGTACGCAGACATAATTTACAGCCTACTTTCAAATATGGGTCTGCTGTGTAAAAATAGGCTTTTCTTCCTACAAAGACAAAAAAGAAAGAAGGCAATTTAGTCACAAGAAACGGTGGTTTAAGATGTGGATTTGTGTCAGAACTCGTTAGAATTGCTTTCACATTTTATTCAAATAACGGGTTTCATTTCTTTCATATCATTCAGGGATTGCAAGGGCCAAGAGTGAGTAGTCCTCATGATCAGTAGCATTATGTGTTAGAGAGGTAAAAGTGACAGAATCTCATCTGAATCCTGGTATTTTTCAGGGATCTCCTGGTCCCCAAGGACCACCTGGCCCACCGGTAAGTTCTTCTCTCAGCTTATTTTCTTGTGAAAGTATTTCATTTCCACCGTACATCTAGTAATACTCGAACGTCGACACACTCTTCAAATCTTTGAGCTGTGCTCCAAAGCACATTCAGATCCTAGTTGCATACTGAATGTGGACTGGCTTGAAAGCCGGAAGTCTGAGTCTTGATTCAACACCTTACTTCAGGAGTTTTTATGTGTTTATAGCCGTAAAAGTTTACTCAGTTGAGTTATTTTGTCCAGAGCCCTTTGCAGGCAAGGATTGCCTGAAGCCTGAAGCCACTTTGATTGGTGCTGCCTTTTATTTTAACATTTTTATGACTGTTTTCCACCAAATAATAAATCTTTTGATGATATATTGGGGCAGCAGTAGCTCAGGAGATAGAGCGGGTTGCCCAGTAGGTTTGATCCCAGCTCCAGACAGAGAAAGCTGCTGTTGTGTCCTTGGGCAAGACGCTTAACCCTCCCCGCCTGCTGGTGGTGGTGGTCGGAGGGACCGGTGGCGCCAGTGTTTAGCAGGCCTCGCCTCTGCCAGTGCTCCGCAGGGCAGCACATCAGCTACATCAAAGCTCATTCCCACCAGCATGTGAATTTGTGTATGAATGGATGAATGGTGTGTGTGTGTGTGTGTGTGTGTGTGTGTGTGTGTGTGTGTGTGTGTGTGTGTGTGTGTGTGTGTGTGTGTGTGTGTTTCTTTTGGATAATCACACAAAAAAGTTTGTTCAGTACTGTTGGCCCACCTAGGTGAGCTACTTATTCCGATAACTAAACTGGGCGTAAACTAATGGAAGCCATGCTAAACATCACAAAGAAACAATAATACAAACACCATCTCAGGTGCTACTTTCCCCTTTGTTCTACTCTTTCTGCTCACTGTTATGCTTTTGCCGTCTGACATGGTGGGCCCACATGACCAGGTGACATAGGTGCAAAGTGTGCAGCTTGTTTTTTAAAGCAACAGAGCCTGGAAACGGCTCATTCTAGGACACGGGCAATCCTGGTCATCGAGGGCCGCTATCCAGCAAGTTTTAGTTGTTTCTCTGCTTAAACACACCTGGTCTGAATCTGGTGGTGGTTAACAGGCTGCTGCAGAGACTGATGAACTGCTGAACAGGCGATTCATCCAGGAATCAGGTGTGTTGGAGCAGCACAACAACTAAAACATGCTGGATCTGAGGATCTCATAGACCGAATAGCCCACGCCTGTTCTAGAAGGTAATGAAACTATCAAGAATCAAACTGCTGAAATTGCTTTAAGTGAGAGGGATTTATTACAAAGAACTCCAGAAACAGATTTTGTGTCGACCTCAGAACTATCCTAACTTTAAAAAGTCACAACATGTTCCCTTTATGCAATAAAATGCTCGGGTTGTACTGTGAGCACATTGTGTTTTTTCGTTTTTGCTGCTGTGATGTAGCTCAGTAGCTTACAGCTGACAGCTTTTTCTCGATGGAAATGATTCATTTCTGGTGCATTCATGCCTCATTTCCTGCTCATTCAGTAAACGTGTCCCTGCTTATCTGCGTGTTTAGTCTGAAAACCACGATCGCTGCTGAAGATACGGGTTTACCGTCTGCTGCACTAGAATGGCTGAAGTAACACTTTTATCTGCTGTTGGTTTCCAGGGCCTTCCCAGCTCTGCCTTTCTACTGGTGAGTGTGCTTTTTCTGGTTTTATCATTTGAGGTTCTCAGAGTGGAAATACTCATGGATGCATCTTTTGCCAGCAGAAAAGGGAAGCTTCTGGGGCTGCTTCCCGAGTCCTTGTGGATCCGCACGCCGCTTTGAAGCAAGAGGTCAGTTTTGGGGGAAACTGCAGCTTAATATTGTTCAATATTCACGGAGAACCATTTTGCCCTGAATCGTGGTCATCATCGTTCCAACACCAGAATTATCAGAGCATGGAACTGCCCGTGTTAGACCAGGGCACAGAGATCTTGAAGACTCTACAACATCTCAACATACTGGTCCAAAGTCTGAGGAACCCCCTGGGGACCCGAGAAAATCCCGTCCGGGTCTGCCGGGACCTGTTCAACTGTGAGCAGCGAATGCAGAATGGTGAGAAGTCTGTTTTTAGTTCAGCTCCACAGTTTCAGTTAGTCTGAGCTGTTTTCTCCCTCTGCTTCTTTGGGCAGGCGTCTACTGGATAGATCCAAACCTCGGCTGCAGCTCAGACAGCGTGGAGGTGACGTGTAACTTCACTGCTGGAGGACAGTCTTGCCTTAAACCTCTTACAGTTTCCAAGGTTGTTTTTCTTTTATATTCAAACACACTTGCTGCAGCTTGTGTACGAAGACGAGACACACGCAGAAAGACTTTAGAAGCATTTAGCTGCAATCGAATATTTTGTGGAAGATGTATTTTGTCTCATGAGGAATTTCTCAAAAGAATGTAGACGCTTAAAGTATTTTCTGTGGCATGTAGGTGTACATGGAAGCCGATAGACACAAGATGTTTCTGCACAGTTTGATCTAAAAGCACTGTCAGGTCTTCAGACGTCATAGCCAGAATGCTTCTCTGCCATAAACCTCTGGAATTGTAATTAGCTATCCATCTTTGGAGTTATGTACCTGTAATGTGTTGCAGTAAAACATCTCTGCTCACAATGACAGAAGAGATGCAGATTGGCCCACTTCCTGCATGAACTGCTGATGAATAATGACGATCAAAAGCCAATCTGTGATCCAGATGTGACTCGCTGAAACGTGTAGCACCATTAAAGCCCGTTCTGGCCATCCAGACTGGTGCTGCTCCAGTTTGCCTTTTATAAAGATCAACTCTTCAAGTTGATTTAAGTTTAAATCAAGAATCCTTTTGGCAGAAGCAGACTTTACTGGAAACTGACAATATCGTAGGTCACCTATGTTGATTTAATTTATTTTCAAAATAAAGTGCATTAAAATTCATGCTAAAAGACACTCAGATTGAGCTTTTCAGGTATAGTTAGAGATTATAAATTCCCATATGGAATCCATTCATCCATTTTCTATAACCGCTTATCCACGCAGGGTGGGGGGTGGGGGGGGGGCTGTTACCCATTTCCAGCAGTCTCTGGGCAAGCAGGCAGGGTACACCCTGGACAGGTTGCCAGGGCAACACAGAGACACACGGGACAAACAATCATGCTCACTCACTCCTAAGGACAATGTAGAGACCAAAAAACCTGACAGTCATGTTTTTGGACTGTGAGGAGGAAGCGGAGGACCCAGAGAGAACCCACAGGGAGAACATGCAAACTCCATGCAGAGACACCCCAAGCACCTCCTTGCTGCAAGGCAACAGCGCTAACCACTGCGCCACGGTGCAGCCCTTTAAACTTAATTATCAAATCTAAATTTAAATCCTGTCCATAAAGGTTATGAACAGAGTTGGTGACAAAGGGCAGCCTTGGTGGAGTCCAACTCTCACTGGGAACGAGCCCGACTTACTGCCGGCAATGCGGACCAAGCTCTGGCACCGGTCATACAGGAACCTAACAGCCCGTATCAGAGGGCCTGGTACCCCATACTTCTGGAGTACCCCCCACAGGGCCCCCCGAGGGATGCGGTCAAACGCCTTCTCCAAATCCACAAAACACATGTAGACTGGTTGGGCAAATTCCCACGCACCCTCCAGGATTCCCCTAAGGGTCTAGAGCTGGTCCAGTGTTCCACGGCCAGGACCAAAACCACATTGCTCCTCCTGAATCTGAGGTTCAACAATCCGACGGACCCTCCTCTCCAGAACCCTGAATAGACCTTACCAGGAAGGCTCAGGAGTGTGATCCCCCTGTAGTTGGAACAGACCCTGTGGACCCCTTTTTAAATAAGGGGGACCACCACCCTGGTCTGCCAGTCCAGTGGGACTGCCCCTGATGTCCACGCGATATTGCAGAGCCGCGTCAGCCAACACAGCCCCACAACATCCAGAGCCTTAAGGAACTCCGGGCGGATCTCCTCCACCCCTGGAGCTTTGCCACAGAGGAGCTTTTTAACCACCTCAGTGACCTCAGCACCAGAGATCTGAGAGGCCAACCCAAAGTCCCCAGACTCTGCTTCCTCACTGGAAGACGTGTCGGTGGGATTGAGAAGGTCTTCGAAGTATTCTGCCCACCGATCCACAACATCCTGAGTAGAGGTCACACCGTCCCCACTATATAGTGTTGGTATCACACTGCTTTCCCCCCGAGGCGCCGGATGGTGGACCAGAATGTCCTTGAAGCCATACGGACATCTTGCTCCATGGTCTCACCGAACTCCTCCCATGCCCGGGTTTTTGCCTTGGCGATCACATGAGCCGCGTTCGGCTTGGGCTGCCGGTACCCGTCAGCTGCCTCTGGAGTCCCACAGGCCAAAAAGACCTGATAGGACTCTTTCTTCAGCTTTACAGCATCTCTAACTGCTGGTGTCCACCAGCGGGTTCGGGGTTTGCCACCACGACAGACACCAACAGGATCCTGCGACCACAGCTCCGGTCGGCCGCCTCAACAATGTCGAAATTCAGTTTATTTGAACTTCAAATGCTAAATTGAAATCTAAATGTTAATTTAAAGTTTAACTCCAAATCTAATAAAATCTAAATGTTAAGCTTAAACTCTGACACGCTGCCAGTGTCCGGGGTAAAAGAAAATGAGTGCAACTGGTCAACCTTTTTGTGGGTGGAGTCACAGATGCCATGGGTAGTTTGATGGAACTTTTAGATGAGCTACAATTATTTGAAATGTAAGCATGTTGATATTTGATGCGTTTAGGCAGTTTCCATAGCAAATGTGTTAAATGTAAGAAACATACGCTAAAGTTCTGTGAACATGCGCGTTTATTACATCACGCCTTGACTGTTGCAACGCACTGCACCTTGGTCTCACTCAGTCTCACCTCTCCCGTCTTCAAATGGTGCAAAATGCAGCAGCACGCCTGTTGATGGGTTCGGGAAAGAGGGATCACATCACCCCAATTTTAGCTTCGCTGCACTGGCTGCCTGTGGATTTTAGGGTCCAGTACAAGGTTCTTTTATTGGCGTTTAAAGCCGTACACGGCCTTGCTCCGCAGTATCTGTGTGAACTTTTAGTTGCTCACTCCCCGTCTCGGCCACTGAGGTCGGCCGACCGGTTTCTCAGGGAGGTGCCGAGAACGAAGAGAAAGCTCAGAGATGACGGAGCTTTTTCGGTAGCAGCTCCAAGGTTGTGGACTGCACTCCCAATCCAGGTTAGGATGGTTTCGTCGCTGTCGGGTTTTAAATCCCTTTTAAAGACTCATCTGTTCTCAGTTGCTTTTCATTCAGTTTGAGAATGCATCTGTTTTAGTAGCTTTTATGTCAGTTTGATATGTTTGTTTTATCATGTTTTTACTTTGTGATGAACTTTTGATCTTGTTTTTAGAATTTTTAGGGAACTTCTGTTCTTTTTGGCTTGTTAGGCGCTTTGGTCAGCTTGTATGCTGTTGTAGAGTGCTTTATACATAAAGTTGACTTGGCATAAGGTTTCTTCTTACCACTGTGGGTTTAAGTTGTAAAATGCACGGATTATTCTTCCTGTGTACGGTTTGGTTTAAATGCAACTAAATCCGTCTCCTCTGTAGTTGGAGTTGGGAGTCGGACGCATCCAGATGAACTTCATCCACCTATTAAGCACCGAGGCTGTCCAGCACATCATCATTCACTGCCTGAACACACCTGTGTGGGCAGCAGGACCCTCTGAGCTGCCTTCGTCTACGGCTGTGAGCTTCGAGGCCTGGTCAGGGGAGACGATCCAGCCTGGAGACCTGCTGGAGCCAATCATAGCCAGGGACGACTGCTGGGTAACATCTTTGGCAATGACATACGTTACAATATCAGACGTAATAATCATGAAAGTCTCTGTAATATTGAGTAGATTAGCTGAGTCTGTTTAGTATGAAGTCTTCGTCAGTGAGAGGAAACAGCCACACTGCTGCCTTCACTCCAACACAGATTATATTTCTTTAAGAAGTTTTATGTTTTTAAGTGGCAACTTATTATCCTAATAATAATAATATATTATTATTATAATTCATCAAATTGTAATTTTACATAACTTAAAACAAATTTACTTTCAGAGTAAGAATTCCTGTTGTGCAAACGAGGTTTCCCCAGTAAATAAGTGTATTAGGATTATTTTGTAATCAACAAACACAAATTGAACATGCACATCCAATTTAGATATTCATTTAATTTATTTTTATGTGGTCAGGCTCTTTAAATCCAACTCAGAGTGGGCAGGAAGTTCTTAACCATGTGTGAATACTGTGTGTAGACTAAGCAGCGTAGATTTACAAGAACAAATCCAAATAGATGGTGTGAGAGAGAAAGAGTGGAGGAGATCAGATTTCTTGGTGTGATAAAAAACAATAGAATCAGCTGGAAAGCTCACATTAAACATGTAAACAATAAATAGTAAATAAAGTCAAACACATTCTGGACCAAAAGTCACTCCACATCCTATACTGTCCACTTAGTTCCACATATTTAAATGGCTGTAGAGGTTTGGGGAAACACCTATAAATGTGCTTTATCGTCATTATCTGTTACAAAAAAGGCCTCTAAGGATCATCCGTAACACTGGTGACAGAGATCAGTTTAAAACAGCACAGCTGATGTATAAAGTAAACAATAAACAGTAAACAATAAACTACTCCAGACAACATATTAAAGCTGTTTCATAAAAGGGAGGGCAGGTATCAGTGTCACGTGCCCATCCCATTTACCGGTTCCTTTAAAACCCAGTTCCGTTAGAACTTATGAGACGGTGCATCCATCAGGGTTCGATGGGGATGTCGGTGAGTATTATAGTATCAGATCCTGGTTTGGGCGTCCTAAGTTAGAATCATATCTTTTATTTTAAAGGTGAAATAATATGTAAGACCTTTCCTTCTGTAGTAGCTCACTTCTTTTTAAGCAATCCCGTTATCTTAAGGTTTCTTTATATTAATCTGTCACAAACCGTAAAGTAAGTCCTGATAATTCCAGAACCCATAATTAATGTGCTTACCTCTGTGCAATTAATGATCAGAGCCCCCACTCGTGAAGCTTTAGAGAAAACCTGAAAGAATCAGGATTATGTTTCTTTTTCAAAAAAGGTTTATTACAAAATCAAAATACAAAAATGGGTAGATGGAAAAACAACTGCTATCCCCCACGGAGGAATTAGTTCAAAATGATTAAATAAGAGTTAGTTTACACCAGCTCTTGTCTTCTCAGAATCTCCCCAAGAACTCTTTCTAGTCTCTCTCTCTCTGTCATCCCCCATCCAGGTTTGGACGGGGGATGACCCCTCCCCATCTGCTCTCCTCTCTGTCCTCTGCCCCAACTGCTGTCGAATCTCTCAATCTCTCTCTCTGCTGTTCAGAGCTGTTCTTATATACCCTTCCTGGACCAGCTTCAGGTCAAGGGGTCATTTACCAGATACACACTTTGTAGCTCAACACAAAACATTTGGTGTCATTTTCACTACATGCAGCATTCTTCTTAACACAGGTCATTACATCATCTTTTGCAGCATTCTTCAGTTTCTCTCCAATGTTCCCGAGAAGGCTTCTGGATCTGATGGGCTTGTCTTCACTCTGTTCTCCTCCAATCCCATCTTTCCAAGCCAGGGGTGGGGCAAAGAGGTGGGGTCAGTCTCCTGACCCTTCGCCCAGTTCTGTCCTCTTGTCCCTGTGACCCTTGAGTGACCCTTGTTTCTGACCACAGTTTTTTTGACCTGCAGCCCAGCTCCTGTCGGCTGGCTGATTTTGCTCGCACAAGCCAGTCCAGTGTGTTTCAGCTTGCCACTGTCTTTGGCATGTGGGGACTCGCAACATCAGTTATTCCAACACGCTCGAGTCCGAACGACATTAAAAACTTTTAGTGCGTGCGTGCGTGCGTGCGTGCGTGCGTGTGTGTGTGTGTGTGTGTGTGTGTGTGTGTGGAACAGAATGAGTGATGAATTGAGGCAATGTCCAAACATGATGATGTTTAAAAGAAGGCTTAAACTCATGATGTTTACCAAATACAAGGAAGAAGGTCCAAAAGTGTGCGTCCAAACCATCGACATATAAATATTGGACAATGGGTTTCCATAGGCTCCAACATCACGTTTTTGAGGCCAAATGGGAGGTGGCCACCACCGCCATTTTGACCGTGTCACAGGTTCCGTCAAGCCCAGACAATTCCACAAAAGGGAAGAGAGGAGGAGCTGAGGGTGGGGCTGTAAGGCTGGGATCAACTGATGACACCCGGTCAAACTAGCTACAAGCTAACCTGAAGCTAACCCAAAGCTAACGCGGAGGTGGGAGCTAAGCTAACGGAGGTAGCTACCTAGCTACAACCGGAGTTAACTGTGCACAACACCAGAGCTTCTGAGTCAGAGATACGTCGGGCTGACCGCTGGGTAAAACCGGGTGGAACACAGAGGTCTCCGAGAGCTCCACAAGCCGGCAGCCCGCGCAGCAGACAAGCGCCGCTGCGATCTGAGATGCACAGAGCTGCCGCTGGGGAGAACCGGGTGGAACCCAGCTCCACCAACATGTTATATTTCAACCCATTTTCTAAAGTGCAGCATTATGTTAAATGCACTGGGTTTTACCCTATTACATTTAAATTTCATGGTTAAACAGTACATGTTAAAATCTAAGCTCAGCTCGGCAGTGACCTAAAATACATAAATATAATTTTACTTACCGAAATAAATGAAGTGGAGACTCCTTGGACGCTCTATTAGTGCAATTAATGCCACAGCAAGTCATTTTGTCCAACAATTGCACAAAAAATATCCAAACAAGAATACACAAACACAGACCCAAACCCCCACGAAGGAAGGAATGCAGACAGATGCTGTGATTGATTGATTGATTGATTGATTGATTGATTGATTGATTGATTGATTGAGACTCAAAATCCCGGAGCAGTTTCCAGGCCAGACCGAGGCTCTACTGAGGCCTTTCCACGGAGCTAGCTCTGTGGTCACGTGGGTCTGATGCTCATTAATTATACAGAATTTTAGGCTTTTAATACACTTAAACAGAAGAGTGAGAAAAACATTCACCCCCTCAGAGTTGTCATGAGTGTAAACTAGATCATTTAAACCTAAAACATGTTCTGGTACCAGGCTGTAAACATGTTTATTTCTGCTGTGAAATTGGTATTTTTAACATGGGAGTCAATGAGGATGTGCTCGCTTCTGACACCAGCCCCTAGTGGATGAGGGTGGAACTGCAATTTTGGTACTTCCAGGTTAGACTCAATTTTTGAGCCGCATTGTGGGGGCTTGGTCTAAACACAAAATGTTTGTATTAATGACATGATCGTGATGAACCATGTGCCATTTGTGTAAATATGTTGCAAAGTAATTTGCCAAAAACTACTGGACAACATTAAATAACTATTAGTTATTTGATGTTGAGAAAGGGGCGGGATTAAATAAGCTGATGCTTCTTCCCAATCCCTTTTGAACATGTGTAAAAAAAAAAACAAAGAGAAGGAGAAGTTACTTATGGTGTGTGTATTACTACGTGTATGTACACATATTCAAAATCAATTAAAGACAAAGACTTTACATATTTTTCAGTTTTTATCAGTTCCATTAAGATAACCATATTTTAAATGGTAGATGTTTATAAATATATTTTACAGCTCGGCATCCTGACTCCGGGATTATAAAGTACTAATGAGCCAGTTAGGTAACTTAAAGCAAATCTAATTAATTTTCTCATCTTTGTTCTAAATGACCCAATAAAAAAACATTCATAGCAACATTTTTGATTTTTTAGTATTCGCTTTAATCAAATCTCTATTATGTTTCCCCACTTAACTTCACGTTGCTGGAGGTAACTGAATGTGTGAAAAGGGAGTTTTCCTCTCCACTTTAAGCATCTTTGGTGTGTTCTTGCTGTGTTGAAATTCTAATTCCACCTTTTAGTTCTTTTTAAAACACAGAAAGGTTTTATTTACCTGCAGCGTTTTGTTTGCCGCTGCAAACTTCGTCAGGCTGTCGCTAAATGCTTGCTTAGTGTGAGGATTGCTGTAAAGTCACTGACACTAGTCAGTTCCTGGGTTCCTTCTGTAGGAAACTTTTTTCTGATTGGCTTAATGAACTGGCCTGTACTGGAATGTTTACTATGTGAAGGTCCTTGAGACGACGCTTGTCGTGATTTGGCGCTATATAAATAAACTTGAATTGAATGTATTACCCGTTTTCCAACGCTGCTTCTCCTGATAATCCACATATTACTGACCAGGATCGCTTTGGGAGAGAGCCAGCTCCAGTACCAACATTTTCCAGTTTGGGTTTCTAACCACTGGTGCACTTCTGATAGCAAAGCAATCGTGTTATGGTTTAAAAGTCCACTGGACTGGGTTGTGTGGTCGGGGGAACCTCCAACTTCCTGCTCAGAAAGATCTCCTCTAGAGTAAAACGGGACCTTTCTGCATCATTTTGAGTGACAATAAAATTTATACTTTTCAGATCAAAGATGGACGCTGGCGTCAGACCCACTTCATCTTCCAGAGCCAGGACCCACATTTGCTTCCGATAGTGGACATGCGCAGCTTGCCGTCTGCAGAACCTGGCGCACGGTTTCACCTGGAGGTCGGACCGGTCTGCTTTCTGTGAAGAGGGGTTGGACCACAGTGTTTCTCTATGAAATATGCTTGGACTGCAGAAATGGGAGACGAAAAAGGCTCATTGAAATCAAAGTGAGGGAACTTCTGGCACTTATCAGCCAACGGAAAACAATAATAAGCTTCTTTTTTCAAAGATGTGCTTGAGTGGTACGAAACCCGGCTGAATCCTGTGGAAGGAAGTAATCTAAACACCGATTCGTTCTCTCTCATCTTTTTTCCCACACGGTCTGGTGTTCGGTTGTTAGAACTGTACAGAAACGTAGAAAAGTTAAATCAGCTAATTTAGTGAAACTTTCTGGTATTTGAAGTATTATTTATGTGTATATAGTCTGTGTACTGAAATTTGAAATGCAGTGATTATTTTACAGCCTTTCGGGGTTTGCGGTAGTAGTCATATCATTCAGGTGTGCAGAAAATAAAAACAAGCACAGTGACTCCAGGTAACTTCCTGAGGCTCTTCAGACTGTTCAGTGATGAGTTTGTGCAGAAATGTTTGTGCGTTGCGATGCTTCTGAGTGTGAACACGGAGCACAGGTTTCCACAGCGTGCTGAGATGCTACCTCATCCTGCACCTCTCATCTCACGGCAAACAAAAGCTGTGACCTGATCTAATCTGGGATGACACGGAGGTGACACCTGGGTGCTGTGATAGTTGACAGCTCGGGGACAAACTCCTGTCAGCTCTCATCCAACCCATATCTGTGCTTCGAAAGGGAAGAATGTCAAATATGTACACTCCCAGACCAGATTATTGGTATAGTTTATTATTTGTTGTATGATTCTGACTATGTTGTGTCAAAAATGTACGTGTATAAACCTCCAAACGTTTAGTATCTGTGGACTGTATTTAAATTTGGAGTGGCGTTCCACCTCAACAGCATGCATCAAAGTTGTTTTTGGTGCGCTACTTGTCTTGTAGAGCTTTGGTCACCAACCTGTGAACTCAGAGGGTTCCTAAAGCTACAGAACACGACTTTATGTGTACAGATCTATGATGTTAGTTCAGTAATGTCACAAACGTTTATTTAAAGTTGGCTTCCACATTTTTTCAGGTAAACTTTATGTGAAAGGATAAAGATTTAACTGCATTTTATTGCCTTTTGTTCACAACTGTCAAATTCTTCTTTAATAATGTGGATGAGGTAAATTGTACTCTGATTACATTATTTACTTCTATATGCAGTTTTGTGCAATAGACTTTTTCAAATTGATGCATTAAAGAGGGTTCCTGCATCTTTACGAATTTCATTTTAAGCATTTTTTTCATTTAAAATGAAAAATACTAGAAATTATTTTAAATGTCTATACATTGCAATACTTCATTTAATACTAATTAAATATTATATACCGTAAATCCTCCAATACAGGCCGGTATTCAATTAAAGGCCGGGTCTCCAATTTTGGCCTGTGTCAGCGGAGGTAAATAATGCGGTCTCTTATTGCGGCCAATACTGGCCGGTCTCTTATTGCGGCCAATAATGGCCGGTCTCTTATTGTGGCCGGGTGGATTGTGGTAACAAGCAAATACGAGCGTCTCAGCGGCAGGGTTGTAGTCCCCAAATCTACCAGCAGGAGGCAGTAGGGGTTCACGCAAACCTTTATTAGGCTTTTTCTTCAACGCTTTGTAACGCTACAGACACGATCCTCTATCACGCTCCTACCACACAGAGTCACGGTGTCAGTTAACCATGCTAATTCAACCCCTCCACAGAACACACATCACCTTCCCTGTGGCTTACATAACACTCACACAACACGCAAATCAGCACATAGGAACTAGCAGAACGATAGGAAACACATATAACACAATACCCAGAATGCACCTGGCTTACAACCCCAGCCAGGTCATTACACTATCAAGTTCAAAGAGAACGTGCTGATTATGCTGCAGAACACTCTGGAGAGCAGCAGTAGGGGGTGTATGAACTAGTCAACTTCACTATAGTGACTTTTTATGCCTGTCATCGACTAGTCGCTGTCACGTGATAATGACCGGCAAGATGCAGCCCTCGGAAAAGACAGCAGCCTGCTGTCAGCAGGTGACAAGCTCCTGCGCTCGGGGGGTGTGGGGGGCAACGCGCTGTGCCAGACCGTAGGTACTGACACGTGATCGTTCATGTCGGTTCATTTCCTTTAATGTTTTCTGTCTTTTATTTGCACCTGATGTGTATCGCTGCTGTGGAGCGGGGCGCTTCAACTTGTCCTCCGACGCACAGATCACTGATGCGGCCGGCAAGCAGGGAGCGCTCCGCTGTTTTCGCGGTCGGTAGATCTGCCTCCTGAGCACGGCCACAGTAACAATCAGGTGTCGCCACCTCAAAAACTAATTTAACATGCGATCGTTCATGTCAGTTCATTTCCTTTAATGTTTTCTGTCTTTTATTTGCGCCTGATGCGTTTCGCTGCTGTGGAGCGGGGCGCTGCGCGCATCACCTTGTCCTCCGACGCACAGATCACTGATGCGGCTGCCAAACAGCGAGCACTCCGCTGTTTTAGCGGTCGGTAGATCTTTTAGAACTGCAGTTCAAAGGTAACTCATGAGGTGAATATATATGAACCCAGGTAGCAGTTTCTCTTTAGGATTGAGAGGAGATGCAGGAAGATAATAAACAGGCAGGACAGAAAAATAGTCAAATAAAAACAAGTTAGTTTTGTACCTGCTGGTTGCAACAAACAGACACCACTGAAGGTAATCAGAAGTGAGGAACAGAAAATGAAATAATTATTTTAATGTTTAGAGCAGCAGGAACTCCGAGAGGCTGCAGGCGCATCAGTGAGTTTGCGGCCGCTGCGTAGGGGGAGGGGGGAGAGGGCTGCGCAGGGGGAGGGGGGAGAGGGCTGAAGCAGAAACTACCGTTGTTAAAAGAAATGTGTTTAACTTTGAAAATGTGGGCGCAATTTTAATTGTCAAAAACTCCAGCGAACCATTAGTTCATTTTGCTCAAATAGAAATAGAGGCCTGCCTCTAATACTGGCCCTCCTTCCAATAAAGGCCTGGAGCTTGATGAGCTTGAGTCAAATACAGGCCCGGGCCTGTATTAGAGGATTTACGGTATATATATATATATATATATAAATGTAAATCAAGTTTAATAACATTTTAAATGAAATGTTATAGAAAAAGTTACAATCTCATATATTTTCAAGCACTTTTAATGTTGGCACAGGAAGAAAGTGTCAGTGAGTTAAAACTTCTAAAACGTTGAATCTTGCTGAACTTTGGGATAGTTCAAGAAAAGCCTGAGGAATGGACCCTGTTGTACTCCTGAAGCTAGCTGTATTTATTCTGGGTGAACTATAACATTTTGTGTTGTTTTGTTCACTACTTTGGAAGCGGCGTCCGCAGTAGAACCTTTCACACACCTGAAATCATCTGTCGCTTATAGACATACCTGAATTTTACCCAATAATAATAATAAATTATATTTGAAGCCTCAGATAGTTTGAGGTTTAAATGAGACTCTTATTGTGAAGTTTTGTAAAAACGCATATATATATATATATATATATGGTAAAAATGCTCTCCATAACAATAATACAAAAAGAGAACTAATTCAGGGGCTAATGCTAAAATAATCGATATCTTTCTGGAAGAAGTGTTTTTGTTTAAAAACTGTTTTTCGTGCTTCTTTGTAACGTCCTATATGCTTCAGGCCAATTATCACCTGTTAAAGCTAAATGTTTCATAAGAAATTTCAGTTACAACTTCAAGGTTTTTATTGAAAACTCAACGCTTTTCATGGATTTCAAGATCTGTGATAATGAGACTTTGGCGTGTTGCATCACGAGGTCTCATCGTGGGCACATGGCATGGCGACCGCCGTCGATAGGCAGGTTCACACCGGTGATGAAGCTAGCAGCATCAGATGCCAGGAAGGCGATGCTGTGCGCCACCTCCTCCACCTCACCGGGCCGACCGAGCGCGTGGGTCTGCTTGCATCTATCAAGGAACTGGAGAAGAAAAAGAGTCGTTCAGCTGAACATTTGACCAGTTTTAGTTTTCATGTGAATGCTGTGCCGTTTTTTAAACGTAATAATGAACCTACCACATTACAGAATCTCGTAGCTATTGGTGAAAGCAGCTAAATAAGGGCGCTCTGTAAAGCTGTTTTAAATCAGTCTTGCACGTAAAAAGCACAGATGCAACACTCTTCCACACTTACAGCAGTACTCTGAACATGTGGGAAAATTACTCTTACACAAACTTATGACTACATGAATTCATCATATAACAGCTTTCCATACATTCTCCTGCTGCCTGAACGGAGCCTCAGCTGATTAGACCAGAACGGTTGGACCTTTAAGCCCTACATGTTATTCTGAAGCAGCCGTTCGGGACGGGCAGCGAGCTTTAATCAGCTCTGCTGAGGTCGTTTCCTTTAGTCGCCGATAGCTAAACTCAGCTAAGACGCTACCGCGGATTAGCTGTGCAACCAAAACTAAACGTCAGTATAGGAAGCACTTGGAACAGCACAAATACAGGAACTGCAGTTGTTGCCTCCCACTGAACTAAGCAGAGCGGAGCATCACACTACAGGAAGTGGAAGTGATGTAGCATTACAAATAAAAGCACAAGTACATAAGCACACTGGCAACATTTCAATCATACTTGAAATAAAAATGAAAATAAATGAAATGCATATTAAGGTTGGGCGAACGGACGATGAATCCACCAACAATGGGCTAGCCCCTTCGCCAATCGTTTTTTATGAGCAACATATTTATTTTTAAGCAAAGTGCAGACCAAAGACCCTTTATGAAGAATAATGTACATGGAAACAAAGTTCCCTCGCCCGGACGCACATCACTGGGGCCCCTTTCTGGAGGCGGGGCACGCTTTCACCCATGGAGCCCGGCGGGGCACAGCCCGAATAGGAAACGTGGGTCTGTAGACCCGCTGTTCTTCTGCATCGAGAAGAGCCAGTTGAGGTGGCTCAGGTTAGTGGATTAGGATACCTCCTGGACGCCTCTCTAGTGAGGTTTTCTGGGCACGTCCAACCGGGAGGAGACCTAAAAAAAGATCCATGACACGCTGGAGGGTTTCCCAGCTGGCCAGGGAATGCCTTAGGATTCCCCAGAGAAGCTGGCCCAAGTGGCTGGAGATAGAGAAGTCTGGGCCCCTCGGCGTGGTTTTAAGGCTTTTTTTTTAAGTTTTCATTACCTGAGCATACTGTCCATCATCCAGCCCCGCCCTCCTGTGGACATCTGTTATGATCACACCAGGACTAAAGAGATAAAAATAAAAAATAACCATTTTCCACACATCCAACCAGACCACAACTTCCATAAATGTAAAGAGACGTACCAGACAGAGTTCACTCTGACCTGCTTGGATGCCAGCTCTGCAAACCAAAGCAGCGTGTTGATTTCCTGTGTTCTTTATGGAGCTTTGCATGTAAGACGGCTCAACTCACCAAGTGCTATACAGCTTGTAAACTGATCAATGGCAGATTTGGACATGCAGTAAGCCAACACACCAGGAAACTAAAGAAATAAGAATACAATCTTAGTAACAGTATGTTGTGTAACCACAGTGGTGTTGACATGAGATGCACAATACCCACAGATCTCTGTCCATTCACACTGGACACATTCACTATTGAGCCTTTGGTTTTGATCAGATGGGGCACACACAGCTGAGTCAGGAAGTAAACCGATCTGAAATGAAGACGACACAGAAGATGTAAGGGCATTTCCCAAAAACACGACTTTGTGCTCTTTAATCTCAAGTAAATCTTTAAAAACAAATCTTTTCACACCGTTTATTGGAACAAAGAAAAGATCCAACATCTCTGACTGGATCTGGTTGAGTGATGACAGTGGTTTCACACCTTCATGCACACATTCACATGTTTAAAGGAGTCGGCTGCTGAGTGATGACAGTCGACTTAATGCTCATGTGGAATTAAGGTGGTATATAGTCTGACGTGGTTAATCTAACCATTTCCCGCTCTTTCTGCAATTTTGTTTTAATGTTCACCTTCGTCCACCTCGCAAACTTGATGTGCGGCTGGCATGTGTGATAAATGTGCTGCTCAGCGCTGTATTAGGCCCTCTGACCTGGAAAACTCCATACTCACCTCTCAAGGACACAGCGTCCTCAAAGCACCAATCCAGAGGTTTCCCCCTTTTTCAGCGATTAAGCGTGATTTTTTATTAAACCGTAAAAGTGATAATCTTACCCTATTCTGTCATATAATTACCCTATTCTGTCATATAATTACCCTATTCTGTCATATAATGTAGACAATACAGTACCAACAGCTTTAGACATCCGCTTACAGATATCAGTCAGAACTGCGAAAGTCCTAGACTGTTGCAGAGTTGGCAACATTTCTGATGGAAAAGTATGTATGTATGTATGTATATATATATATATATATATATATATATATATATATATATATATATACATTATATACATATATATATATATATATATATATATATACATTAATATATATATATATATATATATATACATATATGTATATATATATACATATATGTATATATATATATATATATACATATATGTATATAATGTATATATATATATATATATATATATATATATATATATATATATATATATATATATATACACATTATATAATAAGTCTAACCTATTATAAATAATCTTGTCTCCTTACCATCTTTTCATTTTCTGTTCATGTAACATGTTCAAAAACATCTGTAATAATAAAACTGGTGATAAAACCAATGACCAGAAAGAGTTATCAGTTAGTATTTGTTTTAATAAATGTGTTCAAATATCAAACAGCTAAATAACATTAACATGATGACAGTAGAAGGCCTCTCTCCCAGGAGGACCACCAGGTAAAGCCTCTCCTGACCCTGGACACCTGCAGTCCTACAGAGAAAACCAGACCACAGGTGACAAAAAGGCAATAAACACATTTTTACATTTATCCACATGAGAAGATAAAAATTATATTCTTCACACAAACTTTTTACTTCATTAAAACGTGTCAGCTGTGTAAATCCCTGAATGTAAAACTACTTTTCACAGAAGAACTTCTGTGGTTGTGTGTAAACAGCTTCACTCTTCACCTCTAAGCTTAATATAAATGCTTCTTTGCTCCGTTGTCCTTAAAACAAACGACAAGTTTAATTCAACACACACACACACACACACACACACACACACACACACACACACACACACGGGTTCTGGCTGATTTCTGCCTAAAATGTAATTTCAAAAACAAAAATACAAACGAAAAATGTCTATAAACTGAACCGCTTTAAGCTTTTTAGGTTTCTACGGCTAGTTTTTAACAAACTTACGTTTAAAACTTCGTAGCTCTCCCCATTTTCTCTTCCTGTTGAAAATCTACAGCCGGCGTGCAAAGCATGCTGGGATAGCCTTGTTCTGTGAGGATACAGCAGACCCGTCCTCGAAATGTGGGCGGAGCGAGGACGCGAGAATGAGTGTACTTGGAATTCGGACAGTACTCGTCGCTGCGCTGTGACGTCATCACACTCTTACAAGCATCCTTCCCGTGGATTCGGACATGCCCAGTGACTAACATCAGCCGATACCGATATTGATGCCGACATATTGTCCTTCTCTAATGAAAACATTCAATGTGAGAATATTTATCTAACCACCCACACTAAACACCTGCGTGTGAAATATAAAGACTTCTTCCACCGTTACTTCACGCCAGCCGGGTTGTTATGAATCCCACCTGACATTGATGTTCATGACCTTGTCATACTGAGCCAGGTCTGTGTTCTCGATGCTGCCCATTGCCAGGATGCCAGCACTGTTCACCAGAACATCCAGTCGGCCGAAGTGGGAGATGGTTTGTTCCACCGTTTTCCTCACGGTCTCCTCATCAGTCAGATCTCCAGGAACAAGCAAAGGCTGCACAAAACAGCACACGTCTCGTGAACTGGCTTTAGAAGGAACTTTTTTTAGCTGATTTAAGTTTGTTTTTTTTAATGCAGGGAAACGGATCTAAAGTTTGGTGTGAGACGTCTTATAAAACCTAGTTCTCTGCATGCATTTTGCTTTCTTACATTTGTTTTATCTGACTGGTTCTGGGTGATCGTTTGACCAAAACCTGCGTGCCTTAGATCTGTCAAGAGGACCCACAAAACGGCACACATTAGGCTAGTTTTACTTGACTTTCTAAGAGCCTGTGTACAGAGATTTGAGTAAACATGTTGAAAGAAAAGTTGGAATACTTGTTTAATCTATACATTTGCAGTGGTCTCCAGTAGGAATGACTGCCTTGTAAGTTATTCTCAGGGGGAAGCACACACCGGTGAGTTATTTCTTGGATCTAAAAGTTTCCCACATCACAGCTGAGCTTCAGGCGGCAGGTTTTGATGTCTTATTTCCTGACATTTGGACTTCTCACCCCGGATCGGATAACAGCAGCACGACTGTACCACTGGCTAGCAAAGTGGATGGACCTTCTGCCGTGTGGTGAAGTTGCTAATGCTAATGGTTAGCTTCTACTAGCAGAGACGTCTGCGGCTGATTCCCAAACATTAAAGCAACAACAGCCTTCCCCGTCGTGAGTTCAGATCGAGGAGTCCATGAACGTCACGTGCGTGACATAGAGCTGATGGGCCGTTTAAATCCTAGAGTCTATTTTCTATCAGAAGCTAACACAGGTAGGAGACTATTTTCATGTTCAGTCTGCATGAAAAATTCAGCGACTGATTATAATCAGAAATAATCAATAAAAATGGGTTTTAAATGAACCAGTCTATTAAATGATCCCAGTAGGTGAAGCCAGATGTATTTCATCTGAATGTGTTTGTTCTTTTCATATTGAGGTGTTTTATCAGGGTACACCATAAAAAAGGCATTACATCCTAAGTGTAGTTTTCTGACTACTTCCTTTGATACTTTCTAAATGAGGGCTTCAAAATGTACACACCTCAAAACTTCTAAAGCTTGGAAATATTGTGAAAGGTGCAACTATTTTTATTGGCTATTATTAAAATAGATATGTGGATTTTTATTCTCTGTATTTATAAACGTTTCTGAATATGGATTTCTGCTGTCTTCCCCGAAATTCTGTCTGCATGTTCGACCTGACTTTTTTTTAAATCAGTAGCCCCAATACTTCGTCCCAACTTTCTCTCCATACTCGAATCCCTCCGGTGTTCGGATCGTTTACCTCGGTAGCCCCACTGTCAGTGCACTGTTTGGCCACTTTTTGGAGGTTTGACACGTCGCGGCCGTTCAGAGCCAGCAGAGCTCCGAGTTTAGCGAACAGGACGCTCGTTCCAGCTCCGATGCCCGAGCTGGCTCCCGTTATCAGCGCCACCTTCCCCCGCAGGGAAGACACCTGAAAACAAACGCACCCATGATGACTCATGGATACGTAGTGGTAACCTAACAGGAGGAAGAATTTGCTCTAAATTCAACCAAAGACCGTTTCATATTGGATTTACATGAAATAAAAGCAAGTTAAACACAAAAACGTACTTTAAACGCGTCGCTTGAAGCCATTTGGGCGACTTTAGCTTCCTTCTAATCTGGCAGGTTTCGTCCCCGACTGATGACGCAAATTTACGCGACGGGAGCACATTTGTAGTGTGAATAGGACTACTAATTTGTTTTCTAGAGCCATCACCCCCACACACCTTGCATTTTTTTATTAGGTAATGAAAAAGCACAGTAATTAAAATGTCGCAGATACATAAAGATTTCTTCAGTAATGGACTTGCTAACATTTGTTCGACACGAGGAAAAAGAAAAGCCCAACGCGGTTTTAAAATGTCACCTTTTCATTTTTGGATTCAGTTGTGAAACTGTTTAATGGATTACACGAATAACTTATTACCAATGTTCTGTCGCTTCCAAACTGGTTTACGCACAAAGCTAGAAACTACTGAATTTTTCAACAAGTTGCAAAATCTGTAATATTCTCTGGACAATGACTTCAACAAGGACTTCAGGTTTTCTTTGTTTTTGTGAAAGACAACCCAGCAGCTTTAGTCCGTTGTAATTCTCTCAGGGAGATTTCTCTCTGTGTTTTTCAGGCTTGGACAAGTAATTCGTGTTAACTTTGACAAGGCACCGTGCAGCTTTCCAAGTGTTTCTTTCTTTTAAATACAAGCTCCAAGTCAGTTATCCAGCAAAAGGGTTAGCATGAATGGTCACATCCTTTATTCGGGTGTCAGTCAGTGGTCGGAATGTCTTTTCGTTCACGGGCAGCTTCTCCAACTCATCCAGCGTTTCCAAGCCGTCGATGATCCTGTAAGAGGAAGAGCTTGAGGATTAGAGTAAGGAAGCATATATGTGGACATGAATTAGGAAAACCTAATGGATTTCAGTCCTTTATTAATGTATTATGTACTGTGAAGTAACCAATGAATCACTTTTATACTTCATGTGTACATTCATGTATAAGTTACATACTTTCCAAACACTGTGTACTTCATGTGTACATTCATGTATAAGTTACATACTTTCCAAACACTGTGTACTTCATGTCCAAGTGTGGCTGTTTGGCGTAGGTGAAGAAAAACTGCGAACCATTTGTGTTGGGGCCACTGCTCGCCATCGAGACCACTCCTCTTACATTATGCTGAAATTAGAGAAAAGAAAACATCAAATTTTTGATAAACACTAATTAATGAAATAAAAATGACTTCATGTTAAATTACCTTTAAGTGCTCACTGAACTCATCCTCAAATTTGCGACCCCATATACTTGTGCCTCCTTTACCTGTGCCTGCATGTTATTTTGTATAAGAAAGGGGCAATAACCATCTTCATTTTCATATTTATATTTGTCCGAAACAAAAACAAGCTCAGACCTGTAGGATCTCCAGTCTGCACCATGAAGCCTTTGATATTTCGGTGGAAGATGCAACCATTATAGAACCCACTTGCGCACAAAGCAAGGAAGTTCTGCAACACAAGAACAGGTAAGATTATTCACCAGACTTACATCTAAAGCTGATATATTTACTTTTACTAGCTAGTAGTCATCACAGTTTTATAAGCGGATGTCAAACGTGTAAACAGGTAAAGAGTAACGTACCTCACACGCTTTCGGAGCACGCTCACAGAACAACTCGATTTTTAAATCTCCCAGATCCGTATGAAGAGTAACCGCCTATAAAAATGAACACAGCGTCACGTGGACTCCGGTTAAAGTCAAATGTCACTTCCGGACGCGTACCTTAGCTAAATAAAACACTTATTCAATCAATACAGTAAAGAGGTATTCTATTGTTTACTACAAGCGACCAAAATTAGAAAACATTCTCACCATTTCAAACGCGTCTGTGATGGTGTGCGCACACAAAACCCGTCCGGGTGGGATGAGTATCTAGCGCTAGGTGGTTCCGGCAGACCTATGGTTGTGCTTGTCCCAAGTCTTTTGATCATTGCGATATTTAAAAACAGATAAAAGAAAGTGGGTGAATATATAAATATCACAAATATACATTTGTTTTATTCCGAGTTATAACATCCTTTAATTATTCTAAATTACATGTAAAGAATGTAAAGAAAAAAAGGAGAAATTTTATCTCAAGACAAATATCACGACAAAAAAAAATTAAAAAGTATTTAAAATATAAAAATTTGGAGAAATAAGTTATAACGATTTTTTTGAAGGGGCAGGGGGCTCACCCAACTGACCTTTAGGTCGAATATGTATAAAAAAGTGGTTTGAATCAACCAAAGTAATTAAACAGAACATCTATAATAACACTGAAAGCAGCAGACACAAAATAAAAAATGATGGAATTAGTTAACCAACCAAATTTTATTGTTTGTAGAGGATGGTGCACAAGACATAAAAAGAGACTAGTTCAAACAGAATACTAAAATATTGATCCAAGCTTACATCAATACTGTTATTTTGTATTTTAAATCTTTGTAAAAAAAGAAAAAAAATCACAAAACCAAAATTGTTTTTCTTGGCAATGGTTTTGACAGTGGTAACTGTACCCAGAATGATGGTTTTACATGTGAAGTGTGCATGGTACAAACATCCCATCACGCAATTGGTGTGTGCGCGCACGCACGGGCAAACACACACACACACACACACACACACACACACACACACACTTGACCTGTGTGACTCATAAATACAACAGACACGATGCTTAAATATCGCATACTGATGATTAAAATCACACGTGACAATAAACCTAATTGTTTTTGAAACACAAGCACATCCTGCTTAAACCATCAACATAGAAACTATATAGAAATGCATACAAAATAACATTATATTGGTTTAAATTAATCATAATACTACGGGTGGTGAAGAAAAAAGGCAACCAATAAAAAAGGATCAATACTAGCTGGTTTCCTGAGTTCAGTTGAACAATAATATCTTTAACCTTTATGTCACAAAAAATAGTGAAAGTGAATTAAAATCAGCACACATTTAACATAAAAAACGTCACTAATACCATGTCACTAGCAACAATACCCTTTACTCACCAGAACACTTCTAAATAAAATTCAGAGATTTCTTCATCTAAAAATCTGCATTGTTTAGCTAAGACGTGTATCGCTAACATGCTTCGGGTCACTGAAAAAGTGGTTAGAGTCAACAAAATGCCACTTTCATCTCATGGCTGACAGTCATTCAAGTGCCAGACCAAAAAAAAAAAAAAAACGGTACAAATTATAATTTGTATGAAACAAAAAAGTGTATCCGTGTTACAGTTGGAGAAAAGAAAACCGGGGACTAAAGGTGCCGTAGTGCAAAAGCATTGTTCGGGTCCGACGCGTTTCTATAACCTGTCCTAGTTTAAAGTCTTACGCCAACAGTGAGGAGCACGGGACAAAAGGAATGAACAGTAAAAACAGAAACAACAACCTTTCATATAGTTTAAATGCAGGCCATATTGCACAGTTTAGCTAAATAAAACACACTGCTAAGATACACGCACAGTGGCGTGTACTTCCACACTTTTCAGTCGAGTTACAAGAGCGTATATTGCTTATGTTGACTTTTATTTAAATATTAGAGGTAAACAAGACAACTGTGGTCACGTATTGTGCAGTAATCACTGCAAACGTTTCGTCTGTGCTCCAAAGAGAAAACTAAATAATAAAACAATTATCGACTTTTAGTCCAACAATGTAGTTCCTGCAAGGTGTGAACTTAGGACTTGTGATTTTAAGGCAGCAACTCAAAATTGAACCTCTTAAATTCATGTAAATAAATGACTTTTTTACTTTCTCAGAGACAATAAACTAAAAGTGTTTGGTTTCCTTTCCAAAGGTGCATGTGGTTTCAAACAATTCTGAATCTTAAGGTAACAAATAATAAATGATTATTTTTCTAAAGCTTGTTTAAAAGTAAACATATTAAGTTTAACAAAGTACAAAAATAAACAATGCTGGATGCCTTTGAGACATGGAAGGACTTGTGTAAATACCGGTGTGGTGAAATGTCCCCAGGAAGAGACGAAAGAGACATCAGAGCAAAAATAAAACAGCAAGTCTGCCCCACTCTTCCATCAACATGTGGGATGGCTCGGTTCTGTGCAGACTGAAGGACAATGGCTGCATCACACACGACAGGATATCCAATAATCTAATCCCTACAGATGCCTGAACAAAATAACAAAAACAATCCACAACTGGAACTGAAACACTGCACATTTGAAATATTTAAAGGCCTTTAGTAAAAACGGACTACAGACAAAATAACCAGTGTGCACCGATAAACACCACTACAGATTAGTGGCTTCACTTATAGGGCTGGCGGTCTTCCTTTAACCTGAACGAGTGATTTTTAGGGTGCATTTATCTTGGACCAAAGAGAAAGTATACATTTCTTGTGACAAACAGTAACCTGTGCGCTTAAAAATGTTGGTCCAGCTTTTCATATTTTTACAGCAACATCATAAAAGTGATTCTTATATTGTAAACAAATGCTCCTCATCACAATGACACTGGCCTGAAAAGTGTTGAAAATGGTTGAGAAACAACCAGCAGCTGCCAGAGTCAGCACTTTGGTTCTGCCAAACTGAGTACTGGTTCCTAACTTTACTGGCTGTTCTTCTAGAGCCTCCTGCTTCTGCATACATCAGGGCTGGCGTGGGCTTTCCTTAAGTTTCCACACCAAGATGTCTGGTATTGCTATATTTTTACTGGCGAACCTGTTCAAGTCTGTTCTTTGTCAGCTTTCCACAACTGTTCCTTCACCTCGGTGGGCAGAGTATTGAACAGGTCCTCCTCCACCACCAGGCCGGTTCTCTTCAGCTGTTTGCACTCTCCCAGCTCCACTGGCAGACACTCCAGACGGTTTCCTCTGAGCTCAAGCTGCGTCAGCGCCGTCAGCTCTCCAAACCGCGATGGCAGAGATTGGAGGCAGTTGTTGCCCAGGTTCAAAGTACGGAGTTTCTTGCACTGAAACAGCTCATTTGGTAAGGTCTCGATCTTTAGGTGGGAGGAAAATGGAAAGAAGATGTAACACACAGCTGTGAAATTCAACAGTCAAGTCAAATAGTTTAACTCATTCACTGCCAATGACGACTAAAGTCGCCATTTGCATTTTTTTTACTGCGTGGGCGTCGGACGAGCCCCCGCGCTGAGAGAACAAACATCTCAGCTCTGAAGCCGATCTTCATCCACATACGTCACACGTCACGTGATCAGGAAGCAGAACATCCATGTGTTAGGAGATCGTTTTGAGCCGCTGCTGTAGAAAAAAAAAGCGAGGCGCGAACCGGAAAAGCGTCTGCCGATCACAATTCGACAACGGATTATGAAATAACGGATAACGCGCGAAACACGCAGAATCTTCCTGATGTAAGAGGTGAGTCTCCTCTTTGTTTTGATTGTTTTGGCGTCGACATCATGCAAGAGCACGACGCTCTGTGACTCTTAAAAAACAGTAAAAACTGAGAGAAAAGCTGGCAGCGAAGGGCTTTAGCGATCAGGAAACGGCCGGCAGTGAAAGAGTTAATACTGTAGAAAAACTCACCCTGTTGGCTGTCACAGCCAAGTACTGCAGATTCTGGAGAACGCTGATGTCTGTTGGTATAATGGTCAGGTTGTTGTGGCTCAAGTCCAAGACACGCAGTTTGCGGCAGTAAAACAACTGGCTGGGTATCTTCTCAATCTTGTTTCTGTTCAGGTACAGCTTTTCCAAATTGACCAACATGCCAATCTGAATAGGAATGTAAGCAATTTGGTTATACCAGAGCTTCAGACAGACCAGTCGATGAAGGTGTTGGAAGCTGATTATCTCTTCAATGGTCTTCAGGTTGTTGTCCTTCAGATCAATTTCCTGCACGTTGTGCAGACTGAAGATGGAGTGTGGTATGCGCTCCAGATCACAGCGAATGAGCTCCAGTTCTGTAAGGTTCACCATCTTCTTCAGGCTATTCAGCACCATCAGCTTGGTGCCTTCATTATTAATGGAAAACTTCTGGAGATGCATGCCCACGTCGGTCACAACTTGAGGTAGCTTGGTAAGATTACTTTTGAGGCGAAGAACTTTGAGCCTCTTGAGTTCTCGAAGTCCATCGATGACAATGTAACGGTTGTTTTCAGCGCTGAGATTCCCCGTGAGGTGAAGCTCGCTGAGATTCTTCAAACTGTAAATCCATAAGGGAATTTCTTTAATATCGGTGAACTTTATGTGCAGAGACTTCAAGTTCTCACGTAAAAATGCTAAGGCTGGAGCTTCAATTTTGGCTGGGGTGTGATAAAGCCACAGCTCTCGCAGGCTGACCAGCTGGGCGATGATGGGCGGGATGGTGACATCCGGGATGAGCTCCAGCTTGAGAACCTCCAACTCTAGCAGATCAAACACTGTATCTGGAATTCCACTCAGCATAAAAAGGTGCAACTCCAGCTTCTCCTGAGAGTTCTTGGTTATCCGCTGCCTGAGCTTATCAAGAGTCCATTCATTGTTCAGGTTCAGCTGCCTCAGCTTGTTTTCGCTAACTTCTGACAGGAACACAGCGAAGCGTTTGGAGTACAGAGGGTCGTACTGATCGATCATGTGCAACATGAAAGCAAAGTCATTCTTCACGTCGGGTATGTCGCTGTAGCTGCTCTCTTCCCGAATCGACTCAAAGGAGTATTTCTTCAGGGAGCGCCGGAGCATCCAGCACAGCGTGTACATGCAGATCAGACCATACACCACCACTAAACTAATGTAGAAACAGGCCAAGATTTTAAAAAGAGTGGCCAGTGGGTGAGCACAACGGTAGACCCTGTATCCAGTCAAGCTCTCTATGTTTACAGAACAGTCCACACTAAATTTAATGTTGTGTACGTAATACCCTGTGTAGCATATTATGAAAACAAACTTAATGACTTTGATAATTGTCTGACGTATGTACAGTCGGTACACAATGTCTCCTTCTTCTACATGGGTACGAAACTTCTTCACTTTTTCAAACAGAGCTTTTGCTTGTTCTCCTTCCTTCTTGTCTAATACACCCGTTTCTGTTCGGTCTACGATACCCTGCTCAAAGCGTGTCTTTGTCCTTTGAAGCATCGGAACACTTGCTTCAACATCCTCGCTTATTACAGACTCCTTGTGATCCACTGAGCCGTTCATTTTAATTGGTTTGGGGTCACTTTCTTCAACCACCGTCTCAGATAGTGCCCTGGTTGTCCACGGAGAATCAAAGCATTTGAGCAAGATGGATACAAAGTGTTCTAGTTTGGAACTAGTCCGAGGAAACTTGAACCAAAAGTTACTGCAAGCAAGGAAAATAAGGGTGTGGAGTAATACTAGGTACGGGAAATACTTTGCGAACCAGTGCAATCGATTTTCATAGCACACTGCATCAACGTAATTGTACTGGTGACGGTCCAGATCGTACTGGATTCCTTTTGGCTCCAAGAACAACGATGTAGATGGGTTAGAACCAAAAATCTTCTGGCAGGTCTCGTTGATGACCCATTTGCAGGGCAAGCAGATCATCTTGTCTTGGGTGATCTGAAGAGTCCCGCCAAATACTGAAATCATTAGCATAACAATTGAGATGTAGTCGGTGAACACATCCCACCAAGGTTTCAGGATGCGGTACGCTGGCTGTGTGTCCACAAAGTACCGCAGTTCTGTGATGGGGATCATGGCTTATCTGAGGAGGAAACAAATGCGTTATGGTCACCACTGCAAATGCAAAACAGAAGAACAACAACAAAACACCACTGAAAACCATCAACTCAATGCCAACATATCAGCAATAAAGTCATAAATCAAAGCATGTCGGATGGTTCATTTGAAAAAAGAAACACAACTAATGTCATAAAAACTAAGAGCTCAAATGGACAAAGTCAGAAACAAGATTAGTGATTTAAAAACAGTAAAACAGGTACAAATGATCTTGTATTTAAAGCCATTTCTTAAGAAATGTGGCATTTCAAAATGCTATGATGGCAAATGGCAAACCAGCTTTAAATGTCAATTTGATTGCATAGTTTTTTGTTTTTTCTAATAGATGAAAGCAAATAATTAATAAGCTTCCCCAGTTAGGGAAAACATGGGAGAGAAAACAAAGAAGCAAAGAGAGAATGTAGGAAAACATTTAGGCTAATGATAACATTTGTACGCTAATTAAGATAAATGCCTTCATTTGATTAATCCCTTACATTATGGGAAAAGCATTTTCTAAAAGAAGGAGGTGTTTATTATAAATAACGTACACTTCTTTTGTGTGTCACCTGCTGGTTAATGCACAACTGGGAATAAATCATTTCAGCAGATTCAGAAATCTTATTTTTAAGACTTCTTGGTGTTAAAACCACGTTGTCACACCAGCCATTCTGATAAGGTGGACACGTCACAGTTATATCAGAGCAAGGCTGTGTTTAAAAAACGATTGTAAATGGTGCAAATTCACAAAGCGTCTTTTTTAACATCCGTTTGCAAGACAGGAAAACCACAACTTTGTGACAAACTGAATATTTACCTTCCCGTAAAATGTGTAACAAGTGGCAGACCGAACTGCAGAACGCTGGTTAGCTGTGACTTAGGGCTGGGCGCTATGGCCTCAAATCTATATTGTGATATAATCTGAAGCATGTGCGGTAACGATATATATTGCGACATATTTTTTCCTCTGTTTATATATGTCAAAATGACATGCTTTTAAATATCCTCATGTGGCAAATATATGCCACTTGAGGCCTATAGGCCTCCTCCTCCGCCCACGCCATGCTTGCAGTCACTGCCACTCTGTTGTCCCGATGTCAGCAGGGTGCACATCTTAGTGACGTCATGTGTTATGGCGGTATCGTGGTATTGCCAAAAACACCATCATTACCCAATATTACATCGTTTCTACCTTAAATGGTTTATATTGCCCACCCGCCCCTACTGTGACTATTATAAATGCAACATGTTTAAAATGAAAACCTCGACAGTAACAGTTGCTTATTGCTACTTTCATGTGATCATTTACGTCGTGTTGATCCTAGATATTAAGCAGAGCCATCACTCAACTTTCATAGTTATTAAAGATTTGTTGTGTCACGATAAACCGAGACAAACCCAATTATTTAATACTACCACATATGGTGTTATCATTCATTGTATAAAAACAAACTAATAAAAGATACACTCCGGTTGTACTTTCATCTTGTTTTAGAGATACTGAAGTTACACCGTGACCCTTCCTGTAGGATCTCCTTCATCTTCTACGGTTTATTGGCATCTGAGTGGAGAATTAGTGCCAACTCGTATTTGCCTCAAGGCGTTTACCTTCTGACTGATTGCTCTTCGATGAGTCTTCATTGACATAATGTCATGGATTTGAATGCAAACTTTAACACTGCAGAATTGCTGTTGGCACATTTTGGATTGAAGCCAAATGAAAATGGACAGCCTCCAGAAACTGTTTGTGTAAACACTAATGCAGACACATTTTTATGCATACCCCATATTCTATGTGCCATGTGATTCCAGTCTTTACGTATAAAATGATTTATTATCTAAACCTTTAAAGCAATTTAAAGACAAACTGCTTCTCTTCTTTAATCAGTTTAAAAAGTGATGCTTACATTTAAAATGACTCAGACATGACTGTTAAAGCAAAAAATGATTATATCATTGTTGCAGAAAGTGTACATGTTGAAAGTTGTAAAACTTTAAGGCTGTAATGCAAATGAGATGGACAAGACTTACTTTAAGGCATTAATGCTCTATGTTTGGAGTATTTCAGTGTTTACATGAATCACATTGGTTTCTCCATGTTCTGAAAACTATCGGCCATCCATCTTACAGAATGATGCTGCTATTACATCAGGACTTACACAGAAGTTGTTAAATAAGCTAACTACTGTAACTAGAGGAAAAGCCCCTCAATGCACCCCTAACCTGCACATGTAAGTGCTGACATTCAACATGACCAAATAAAAACTATATCATCAAGAAACGAGTTGTGCTAATTAAGACAAAAACTGTTGCTGAGTGATATAAAAATACCTTTACTTACAAATTAAAATTGTAAAGCATAACGCCATTCATCAACGATGATCCATAACTACTCTCCTTTACGTCCGCTGTCCATGAAAACCAGCTCCAGCCCTTTGAATCAACCTTTTGCCTCGAGCAACCGAACCACACCCAACCAGCAAGCTAAAGAAGCCACTCTTCTAAAGATGATATTCCGTTTTGGCTTGTTTAACTCAAACAACGCAAGCGCCAGAAGAGCTACCTTGCTCCCCTGCTCTCTATTCTTAGCCATTTCCTTTAATAATAACCAGAGTATTGTCTGCTGGGTCCTTGAGAAGCACCTCCCTCGACCTTCAGGAAGAGATCCTGTTTACCTTACGGATGCTTCTGTCTCCAACTAGTGTCTCTCTGGAATACTCTGCCGTCACCTTTTGTACTTCTACCACTCTAAACCACACACACACACACACACACACACACACACACACACACACACACACACACACACACACACACACACACACACACACACACACACACACACACACATCAAAGATTGTACTTTGCTAAGAAACTTTTAAGGTCATGAGTTGTTCAGGAGTTTGATATTTTGCCAAAAGCCAAACTTAAAATGATTCCAGTTCCTTGAAACTTGTACGTACCTAAGATCATGCTCACAGCAGTGATATAGATGGATGGATTGTGCAGCAGGGCTGTGCAGTGGCTAGAGCTGTTGCCTTGCAGCAAGAAGGTCCTGGGTTCGCTTCCCGGCCTGGGATCTTTCTGCATGGAGTTTGCATGTTCTCCCTGTGCGTGCGTGGGTTCTCTCCGGGTACTCTGGCTTCCTCCCACAGTCCAAAAACATGACTGTTAGGTTGATTGGTCTGTCTATATTGTCCTTAGGTGTGTGTGTGTGTGTGTGTGTGTGTGTGCATGGTTGTTTGTCCTGTGTGTCTCTGTGTTGCCCTGCGATGGACTGGCTCTCGTCCAGGGTGTACCCCGCCTGATAGCCCGTTGACCGCTGGAGATAGGCACCGGCTTTAATATAACGACGCCTACTGCACATCACTGACAGCAGCAACTATTCGGGCTAAACCCACAGCAGAAAGTTAGAGCTAAGTGACATTTTATTAGGCAAACATACCCTGTCTACAAGAAGCCTCGACTTTTATTTTCTAACATAAACCCTATTCACCTGCAGGGCGGGACAGACAGTAAACATTATACTGTTACTGTTAGAAACACGTTAGCTAACGAGCTGTGAAGCTACTCAGCTACATGTTGACTGACGCGTATCTCTGCCGTCGGAAGTTTGTATGCTAGCTAACGCTGCGGCGCTCTTACATCCCAAACAAACAACAAAGCTGGTGTCGTTGACTTACTTTGGATTATTTGCTGAATTCGAATTCAATATCACTTAAAAGTTTAATACTCGTAAATAGTTTTTACCGATGCTGGTTAAGCTAATGTTTTGTTTCCCAGCACCTCCGAGACGCATACGTCATCAAGCCGCGCGGTGGCACTGTCGCGTTTAAGAAACGTAGAAGAAGACCCATTCTTCCTCTGCTGTTATAGGCACAGAGGTGTGAATGTTTTGATTAGGACTTTGCTGTTAGGCATGTTTCCACTTGGCTCTCTGCGGATTATATGTTCACCTCGGGCTGCGCGACACCCGCCCTGGACGAGGAAGCATGGAGCGTCTCTTCCAAACGCTGCCACGTTAAGTCCCAGCATGGCAGCCAGCTTCCACAGCAACAACCCTCCTTGGCACAACGGCGTGAACTTCAGAGAATTTGGAAAAGTAGAATTTTATTACACTAAAACGGTCTTTTCATCCAAAAGTTGCTGCACAAGTCAGATTAAACCGCACTGCTGGAACTGTAAGCGACTTCTAGAGAAAACGTCCACATTCTTCTGCAAGTCATGCCAGGCAATCCAACCCCCCGAGGAAGGAACCACCTACTTCAAAATAATGGACTGGTTAGTGTCTTACATCACTTCAAATCAGCCATTTCTAAATGAGCTGTCATTCAATTTCATTTCATTGTGTGCTGCCCCTTTTTGCAGTGACTACACTTTCACACTGGACACCCACAAGCTGCAGACAAGATACTTGCAGCTTCAGCGATCTCTTCATCCCGACAACTTCAGCCAGAAGTCTGTGGTAGGCAGGGGAAATGATGACCAGTTTGGTGAAATGGTTCACGCGTCAAACCAGGCTCTGTTATCGATTAGTTGGACTGTGGAGCTGCAGACAAAGCATGTATATCATATGATGCTGTTTTAAACCTTTGAGAGCAAAGTGGGCAGTGTAAATAAAGCGGTTTGTTTTGGTGAAACTGCCCAAGCCCACTCTGACAAGATGTGCCTACAGCAGTGATCCAGTTGCTGTACTGGTTATGGTGGTCCAGTGGTTAAGGTATTCAGCCCAGCACTCGTAACAACTGGACTACCAAGTCTGCTACGTGACGGTCGCCTAAGCCACATATCCTGTGCTGACCAGCTGAATTAGGTTTCATACCAGAGACTATCTTCCGGGAGAGGAGCAGGGCCTGATGATTAGTTTCCATTCATGTGCAGCTGAAACAGGAAAATGCATTAACACAACCCAAAACGGGTTTGTTTGTGTAACAGTATCACGGTCAAAAGCTCCAAAAAGTGGATTTTTCCTGATAAGGCGTTTCCAAGGTTACGTTGACTGTATTAGACAATACAGAGCAACATCAAAAGAGTCATCATAAACCAAACAACAACAACAAACACCCATTTATTTTCTACTGTACATTCTGTTCTTTGCTCGATGTAAAACCACTCCCAAAGGATCCATCCATCCACCCATTTTCTGAACCCGCTTTGCGACCCAATAAAAAAATGAAAAGAAGCAGGTCTGAAAACGACATCTGAGGCTTATAGATGGTTTACTAATATTGGGTAAAACTCAAGTATTTTTCAAAGCTTCAGATGTTTTAAGGTATTTCATTATGACTGAGCCTTTTAAAAGAGAAGGAACAAAGGAAGACCTTTGATTTACTTGGTGAACACGGCTGCAAAAAGAGCCCAAAGATCACACCTTCAGTTCAGCAAACCTTTAACGTTTTATAATGTTCTCATATCCATTACCCGTTTACACAGCATCAGGTTCATGAGCATGAGATTCAAGGCTTCATTGTCCTTTTGTACAAAGGAAACGTGCACAATAAAATTCATAATTTGTGTAATTGTAATGATTTAGACAGTTAAAGCCGAGTATGAAGATAAAAAAGATGCGTGAAAAATGCAATAACTGAAATTCCCACTTTTGGCCTTTTTTTCAAGGTTTCAGCTTTAAGTTTGAACTTTTGTTGTGTAAAAACAAAAGGAGGCATGGAGAATATTATAGGTAATCCACATTTAGGAGACAACATGGAAGAAAGAGGTTTTAACTGTTAATACCTGCATAACATCAAGCAGACATAATGTGAAACTGGACAGATTTCCAGTTGTCCGCATCACGCAGAAACACATTATGCACCAAAGAACAAGCACACTCGTTAGATAAGTCATTCATATCATTTTCTCAGCTGTAGATCTGAACAGAGAGGATCCTGATTTGTGTGAATGCATCCAGCGTCAGTGGAGCTTCTAGGCACATTAAGGTCTGCGCAGAGGTAGTTTGATTGTGTTTTATCTTTTTTAGTCGATGGGCCTACAAGCTGTAGGAACAAACCTCCAGGATGTTGTAATGGGAGCAGTTGCATAACGTTAGGAATTATTCTTGTTGCTGTATTGCTCATGCGCAAATATTCAGCAACAACAAAGGAAGACTCCGTCCACCGCCCTTCAGTAATTGCTGAATGAAGGCAGCTGTGGGATTTCCTATAAAATCCCAACATCAAAGACCGCAAAAAAAAGTCTCAGATTCAGCTCATTTACAGTATAGCGTGGTATAAAGTGTCTTTTAGGTTTTAGTTACTCGTGCTGCCCAAAATAAGCTTCGATCTCACTTATTTTTCTTCCCTGGGACATATTAATCTATAATTATATATTATACCTTACTATATTAATCTATAATTATATATTATACCTTACTATATTAATCTATAATTCTATATTATACCTTACTATATTAATCTATATATTATACCTTACTATATCAATCTATAATTATATATTATACCTTACTATATTAATCTATAATTCTATATTATACCTTACTATATTAATCTATAATTATATATTATACCTTACTATATTAATCTATAATTATATATTATACCTTACTATATTAATCTATAATTCTATATTATACCTTACTATATTAATCTATATATTATACCTTACTATATCAATCTATAATTATATATTATACCTTACTATATTAATCTATAATTCTATATTATACCTTACTATATTAATCTATAATTCTATATTATACCTTACTATATAAGCATTTAAATGAAAACTTGCAGAAAACAGGACTGATTTAAAATAACATAACCTTAAAACTAGAACTCCCAGAGAGTTGTCATTTGACTGGGTTGTTGTTATCTAGGATTCTTAAAAATGTGGCAGTTGCACGTGAATCGGTGGTGTGGTGACAATTCATTCAAAGATTCAAACATTTCAGGTTCCAAAATGTTTATTTTCATACTCCGGTCAAAAGATCAAAAATAACAAATGCATAAAAATCTACAGCTCAGAGCCTGAAAGATGATAGAGGGACAGAAAACGCATCGGAAAAGGGGAGACATGGGAGACAGAGGACATGAACAATTCCACATTTTTCAGGATCCCATGCTAACCTTTTTTTTTATTTTCATTTAAAAAAAATCTTAATTCTTCATTTTATCTTTATTTTTTTAATATATTTTACCTCTTTTATATTTGAATTGTTCTTTGAAGCGACTCGTGCATTTTTTCTTATTAAGTGCTATATAAAATCCTTTCTTGTCCTTTGTGTGCTTCTGTGAAGTCTTTGGATGGACAAGTTCAGCTGACCAGATTCAAGACAGGAGAGAGACTCGTAGAGCCACTGGGCCAGTCTGAAAGATTGACACCCAAGCACATTTCATGGGCCATCATCTGTGGCTGGCTGCATTTACAGATGAAAGGCAGCTAAGGATCAGTGATTTAGTTATTGTAATCAAACCAAGCAGTCATTTGACAAAGCTCTGGTAGAGCTGGGGGAATTAGAAAATGCTGGGAGTTCTAGTGTTAAAGGGATACCTAAGAATTTTGCTTTTTCACAAAACAGTCTAACGTCTCGATCATCTTGGAAGGAAGGTTACATTAAAACTGATTCACTTCTCAGTCGGCTCGGGAGTTGTCAGTGTTTCTCCTTTTAAAATGGCCAAAGTGGGACCAAGTCTTTGTTTACAGTCTCTGAGCACGCAGGGTTGCCACGTCTGCACCGAACCGGTGTTGAAGTGTTGGCTTTTGCATTTTGACACGAGCCGGTGAAAAGCTCCAGAGTTGTTTAAGTGACCTAAAACAGTAACAGTAGTGACCCAGAAGTTATTCGTGTACGATGAAGCCATCATTTTGTTTTACTCTCATGTCTGGTAAAGAAGGAAAAACGCTAACGTTGAGCTAGCATTGAGCTAACAATGCTAACGGTGAATTAGAGAAAATTTGTTATAAAAATACCGTGTGTATTCTTCCTGGCGATAGGGGGCAGTAGATACTTAAATCATTGCAAGCAAGCAGTATTTTAGTGTTGGAGTAAGACTTTACCAACAGATGCCCATTAGGGTCAAAAGGCCCTGGGGAGTGCAAACTTTAGTAAAATAACGAGCACGTCAAACTCCCTTTCATCACTGGCAACAACTGAAGAGGTAAATGTGTAAAACAACATTTAAGAATGATGAAAGTTTTGTAACCATTTGTTACAAATCAGTCCTCATGGGCTCCCGTAGGTGGGAACATGGCTTCTAATATGGCGTCACCCAGAGACTTAGGCCCGCTCCTATGTATTTTAGACCGTACAGTTGGGCATCATTTCATTCACTTTCAACATCATTTTGATGGCTATTTCCACAAATCAATGGTAAAAACTACACATTGTCTTTTTGAAGCAGCCCCCCCCCCCCCCGAGGGAGTCACTTGGGAGCGAAACACGTCGCCCCAACATGTTGGTTTATTAAACATGTTTTCCGCCCAAATATTGCAGCGGTTAGAAAAAACGTGTACGCTAAAATTAAAGAAAAGCAAGGACAGTGGAGACGGTGAGTAGAACCCTTGCAGGAAAATATCCTTCACACACTTTTATTGGGCCACAAATGAAGATTAAAAGTGATAACTCTGTACGAGTCTGTGCATCTTTTAGTTTGATCTTGCCGTTTAATCTCCTCCTATTTAAATATTTATGGCCTCTTGTAAACAGATATAGTTCATAAAACTGGGACTTGGTAAGAGAAAAATTGTCGACAGACCATGATCTAAAAGAAGTATAGCAAACAAAACAACACGCTATCATTTTCCTTCAACTAAATAAAAGACTAAATAGGCCAAATAATCGATTTTCTAACAAAGAAAAATGGCACATTTACTTTGATTACCACCCTGGATTACAACTTGATCTTCACATTAAATTAAAGGGACACTATGCAACTTTTTCATGTGTTAAAATCCTTTTCTTGAGCCAGTATGTGCTAAAAAGACCTTTTACAGGAATAAACCTCAACTGGTGGCCCGTGGGCCACATCCGGCCCCATATTGGGCCCTAATGCCCCCCCAACAGGGGGACTTTGAAGTTTAGCAGCAATAAAAAACTACAACCAAAATAGTTTAGATGAAAAACAAAGCCATTTTAAATATGAATATATTAAGATATAGTAATACTTGAACTTTATTTTACAAAAGCATCTGGCCCTCAAGGTGTCTGCTGGAATAAACTCCAGCCCTTAAACAAATTAAGTTGAGGACACCTGCTTTACCGGCTTAATGAAATGCCACTCAGACCCCCGGCGCCCCCATGTGACCAGAATACATCATTTACAACTTCAGAAGTGCCGGCCCAGTCTGTTGGACTTGGGGACAAATGGGCCATTCCCATCTGTACCGGGTCGGCCCGGGCCGGGTAGCCCCAGTCGGCCCCAGCCTGGCCCGGTTGATTCCACACATCCTTGCCTTAAGCCCAAGTGGGCTGATTCTACCCACCAATCAGAGGCTTGCTCTAATGGAAGGTGTGAATTTGCTGTCAGCAGTGGGTGTGTTGGCCCTGGTCGGCCTGAAGCAGACCCCCTCGAGAAGAGGGCTGAGAATGAGCCTTGGTTGGCCCGGGAAAATTCCAGGCCACCCAGATATGTAAACAACCTACGCTACCCGGCCCGGGCCGACCCGGTACAGATGGGAATGGCCCATAAACAACCTATGCTACCCGGCCCGGGCCGACCCGGTACAGATGGGAATGGCCCAAAATAGAGCTGACATACCCGGCGCTGCAGCCTGCTTCCAGCACATTTCCTGCATGTTTTGGATCATGAACACAGTTCATTTGTACAATTTAGTGATGCATCATTCCTGTAGACACTAATGAAGGCCGAGGAGACATTCCAGCTGTTAGATTAGGGTGATAAAAAGAAAAACCCACAGCATGGAGATAAGACTTGCTTTTGGTTCTACAAAATGGACACTAGGGGGTGCTAAAAGCAAGCCAAGACTGCTTTCCTTTAAACATTATTTTATTTTTACAAAGTGGTGCATTGTCAGTGTTTTCATCTGATGGCTATTATGAAAAAGTTTATAAGAGTAAACTTTTTAAACCCAGGGTGGAAAGGATTCATTTTACCTAGCATAACATTTAATTTGCACTACAGGAGCAGCACTTTGCATGGTTTCCTCGTTTAATGACACAGAAGGTAAAATAAACATCCAACCTGTCCAACAACATCCTGATTTGGTTTTATTTATCACTTCCTCTTTCCTGTTTTAAATTAACTAGGCATCTTCCTGCCTCGGGGGTCTTCATCATATAGAAGTGGAAAACTCATTACTTATAAAAGGTTACGACGAGGCATCCACCCACCACACTGGTTATTACACCAGTAGCTTCACACGGGAAGCCCGTGAGCCCGAGCGTGAGATTATTGATTTTTACTGGAGCTGACAGACCTGATAGCTGCAAAATGTACCCAGATCTGCCAACCACTTCCACCGTCTTTTCCTCTTGCCTCGTTTTCTGCAGACGTAATGTCAGCCCCTCAACGGAGCCAAACTGCTTCACTGCGGAAGAGTTGCTGTGTGACATGCCTTTAACTGTCAGGATCACAAAGGACTTGGTGTTTGATGTGGGTGGAGATTAGAACGGCTAGGTGTAGCGCAGTTGCTATTCGCTCTTGACAAAGTTTAATGTTTGTCTGTGGGTTTTGAGTTTTGGCTGATTGAAACAAAAATGTTTAATACAAATGATAAAAGTCCCAGATCTTTTGTTGGACTGATGTTTCTGAACTGTCCTTTGCAGAAAGAACAGGGATTTTCAGAACACCAGTCTGCTCTCGTGAACAAAGCCTACACGACTCTGCTGAAGCCTCTGAGTCGAGGTCTCTATATGGTGAGTTTAGAAGCCTTCACCTTCTAATGAACAGTTACTTAATAACTAGTTAAACCTGTGACTATTTCATAGATTCTTCACTTTGTGACAATCAAGCTTTTATTGAGTTTGACGGATCTGGTTTTTCAGCTGGAGTTAGAAGGCGTGCCACTGGAGGAGGGCACCGACTCTCACGCGGATTCAGACTTCCTGTTGGAGCTGATGGAGGTCAATGAAGCTCTTGATGAAGCACAGACTCCAGAAGAAGCCAGTAAAATTGGCCAATGCATGAAAGGTAAATAAAAGTGTTGTTTAATGCCCTGGTTAAATCATAGTTGAACACTTTGACCTAGAATTTAAACAGCATCACAGGAGAGGAGGTGAAATATAGTTGAATTGATCGAATGTGCAATTATTTCAAATTTCTCAACAGTAGTTTTTGGACATGAAACAAGCTTAAGAAACGCTGCGGCTCCCTCCGGTAGAGCTGGTTAAAAGTTTAGACACGCTGACTCGAGAGGAATGGACAAGGTGTGTCCTAATTACTGCAGCTTTCTCCTGCTTTGTTCTCCACCACAGACGGTTCCCTCTAAACGTGGGCGGTGTCAGTTGTTTATCATCGTAGCGTGTGGTGACACAACCACCCTCTGTCTGTCTGTGTGTGTGTGTGTGTGTGTGTGTGTGTGTGTGTGTGTGTGTGTGTGTGTGTGTGTGTGTGTGTGTGTGTGTGTGTTCCACTACAGTGATTTAGAGATACTATTATCATAAGTGTCACATGAGTGAAGAGGAGTGCAGATGATAATAAAGTGATTATTACCCTGAATGAGTTTGCAACAGGCTCTTAGAAACAGAAGGATTTCACAGCTGCAGCTCGAGTCACCAGAGAAAAACAGCAGATCTGTAAATCCAGACGAGTCCTCCATGAACACGTCGGTGTGCTCACTAGTCATTCATTAGTCTGTACGCACGGGTGTGAGGTTTCTGGATTCTCTATTTTTGCTGCTGCAGAGCTGCTGCTCTTCTGCTCACTCATGATTCTGTGTGACCTAATACAACAGTAGCTAAAGCATCCATCCATCCATCTGTTTGTCCATCCATCCATCCATCCATCTGTTTGTCCATCCATCCATCCATCCATCTGTTTGTCCATCCATCCATCCATCCATCCATCTGTTTGTCCATCCATCCATCCATCCATCTGTTTGTCCATCCATCCATCCATCCGTTTGTCCATCCATCCATCCATCCGTTTGTCCATCCATCCATCCATCCATCTGTTTGTCCATCCATCCATCCATCCATCCATCCATCTGTTTGTCCATCCATCCATCCATCCATCCATCTGTTTGTCCATCCATCCATCCATCCATCCATCCATCTGTTTGTCCATCCATCCATCCATCCATCCATCTGTTTGTCCATCCATCCATCCGTCCATCCATCCATCCATCCATCCGTCCATCTGTTTGTCCATCCATCCATCCATCCATCCATCCATCCATCTGTTTGTCCATCCATCTGTTTGTCCATCCATCCATCCATCCATCCATCCGTCCATCTGTTTGTCCATCCATCCATCCATCCATCTGTTTGTCCATCCATCCAATTCATCTGTTTGTCCATCCATCCATCCATCCAATTCATCTGTTTGTCCATCCATCCAATTCATCTGTTTGTCCATCCATCCATCCATCCATCTGTTTGTCCATCCATCCAATTCATCTGTTTGTCCATCCATCCATCCATCCATCTGTTTGTCCATCCATCCATCCATCTGTTTGTCCATCCATCCATCCAATTCATCTGTTTGTCCATCCATCCATCCATCTGTTTGTCCATCCATCCATCCATCCATCCATCTGTTTGTCCATCCATCCATCCATCCATCCATCCATCCATCCATCCGTTTGTCCATCCATCCATCCATCCGTTTGTCCATCCATCCATCCATCCGTTTGTCCATCCATCCATCCATCTGTTTGTCCATCCATCCATCCATCTGTTTGTCCATCCATCCATCCATCTGTTTGTCCATCCATCCATCCATCCGTTTGTCCATCCATCCATCCATCCATCCATCCATCCATCCATCCATCTGTTTGTCCATCTGTTTGTCCATCCATCCATCCATCCATCTGTTTGTCCATCTGTTTGTCCATCCATCCATCCATCCATCCATCCGTTTGTCCATCCATCCATCCATCCGTTTGTCCATCCATCCATCCATCTGTTTGTCCATCCATCCATCCATCTGTTTGTCCATCCATCCATCCATCTGTTTGTCCATCCATCCATCCATCCGTTTGTCCATCCATCCATCCATCCATCCATCCATCCATCCATCCATCTGTTTGTCCATCCATCCATCCATCCATCCATCCATCTGTCTGTCCATCCATTTATCCATCCATCCATCCATCCATCCATCCATCTGTTTGTCCATCCATCCATCCATCCATCCATCTGTCCGTCCATCCATTTATCCATCCATCCATCCGTTTGTCCATCCATCCATCCATCCATCCATCCATCCATCCATCCATCCATCCGTTTGTCCATCCATCCATCCATCCATCCATCCATCCATCCATCCATCTGTTTGTCCATCCATCCATCCATCCATCCGTTTGTCCATCCATCCATCCGTTTGTCCATCCATCCATCCATCCATCCATCCATCCATCCATCCATCCGTTTGTCCATCCATCCATCCATCCATCCATCCATCCATCTGTTTGTCCATCCATCCATCCATCCATCCATCCATCCATCCATCTGTTTGTCCATCCATCCATCCATCCATCCATCTGTTTGTCCATCCATCCATCCATCCATCCATCCATCTGTCCGTCCATCCATTTATCCATCCATCCATCCATCCATCCATCTGTTTGTCCATCCATCCATCCATCCATCCATCCATCCATCCATCTGTCCGTCCATCCATTTATCCATCCATCCATCCATCCATCTGTCCGTCCATCCATTTATCCATCCATCCATCCATCCATCCATCTGTCCGTCCATCCATCCATCCATCCATCCATCCATCTGTCCGTCCATCCATTTATCCATCCATCCATCCATCCATCCATCCGTTTATCCATCCATCCATTCGTTTGTCCATCCATCCATCCATCCATCCATTTGTCCATCCATCCATCCATCCGTTTGTCCATCCATCCATCCATCCATCCATTTGTTCATACATCCATCCATCTGTTTGTCCATCCATCCATCCATCCATCCATCCGTTTGTCCATGCATCCGTCCATCCATCCATCCGTTTGTCTGTCCATCTGTTTGTCTATCCATCCATCCATCTGTTTGTCCATCCATCCATCTGTTTGTCCATACATCCTTCCGTTTGTTCATCCATCCGTCCATCCATCCATTCTTCCGTTTGTCCATCCATCCATCTGTTTGTCCGTCCATCCATTTTCCTCCGCTTAAGTGGAAGAAGATGGATGGATGGATTGAACATAAAGGTTGGGTCATATCTGCATTTAAAAAAACATCATCTCTATTTAGTCCAATTTTCATTAGTGCAGCTGCGTATTTTGCTGCCCCCCCGTTTGCAACACTGCATCTCTTAAGCGGTGTTAATGTGTTTGTATTTGATTTCCCCTCTTTTGTTTGATTGTAACTGAGGCAGGAAAAGCTAGCACGTAGCTGTTTTAGCTAAGAATTAGAAGCAACAGGCTGTTTGTGTCTTATTAACACGACGTGCTGGTTCTCGTCTTCTCCAGGGAAACTTGCCGACTTGACAGAGCAGATAGATGCTGCCCTTCATAAAGGTATTCTAATCAGATGTCTGGCTGAAGCATCGTGTATTCCACCCACTCGTTCCTTCACTTGGGTTCAGCCTAGATTACTAAACGTTCTGCAGCGAGTCATTGATTGAACTTTCTGTTGCACCTTTTCTTTTGTTCCCACAGGAGAGCTTCATGCTGCCAGAGCCCTTCTCACCAAAATGAAATACTACACAAACATAGAAGAAAAAGTCAAGGAGAAACTTTCTGGATTCATGTCAAATATTTGACTCTTGAATATTTTTTAGCAATTATGTAAAGAATTACAGAAAATATTGTATGTCACTGATGCAATTATGTTATTTTATTCATCAGCTGGTAAAGTAAAACTCATATTGCATTCAGCCTAAAGGTCTTTGTTTCTCCTAAAGTCATGAATGTGTTTCTGTAATTAGAAGCATACCTTGTTCCCCTTAAATTTAGCTCATTTTACAAGCCTAATTATATCCGCTTGTTCCTAATGTGTCAAACGCGACAGAGATCTGTAACTGGCTCTGATTTAAATGCTGCTCTGAGTGTTTATGGGATTATCCTGCCTATCAGTTCAGCGTTCTGTCGTGTGGGACACACACAGTTGCAGGGCTCCAGTGCAGTACCCTGGGAGACCTTTAGGTGGAGACATGGCACCTCCACAATCCCCCTGCAGGAGTGTTGTGCCAACAGGATATGAGACCAGACCAGAGGGAGGTCCTTAATTGAGGTAGACAAGGTATTGCAATATTAATGGTGGCTTCACATGTAGCATTAATACTATGATAATCAGGAGAACCCCACTGAATGAAGATTACTCGATGAGCCAAGCATCTGTGATCTCTTTGGTTAAAAACTCCTGAATTGAAGCGCATTTAGCCTGCAGCACTCGGATAGATGCAACTAAATGTAAAGTCGTCCGACCGCTCACTTACCTCCTCTGATTCTCATCTTTTTTCACAAACCATGGAGAGAAAAGCTCGTAATAACGGATAACTGCAGCCCAAATCGTATCAGGGCTTTCCATCCAAGTGTGTACAAGAGAAGCCACTCTGAAATATGGGAAGAGATACTTAATCTGACAGCAGAGTTAAATATTAGATCACTTATGTGAAAAATGTCATTTGAGACACGACGTCACACCCTAAACAATATTCTATGGTTAGAGGTGTAGCGCTGATGGTGCCTAGCAGCTCACCGTAAACCCAACCGGACTGGTCGTTTATTAAGCCTACCATCACATGGTCACACGTCTCAGTGTGGTAGTCTTGTTTTTACTCTAGGGAACTTTAATAAACTTAGACAGAGGATTAAATGGAGCTTCTCCCACCACAAGGAGACCCAAAGACCTATTTATTATTCATGGCGTAATCGGAAGGCATCTACGGTGGCTTTAAATTAATGAGAAAACGTGACGGACCAGCAGCGGGGCCACGGCTGTCTCCCACAACTCTGAAATTGAGTTTGAAAGAGACGAAATGGGGAAAAACTCACTACAGCCGAGCTGTGAAATTGACTTGGATGGGAACGCTTGGCGAAAGAGGCGGGTACATGTGACCACCTTGCAGCTTCTGTAATGAGTTAGGTCAACACCAGGCAGACCAAACAAATCACAGTCGCTGCTGGAAGTGTTGACTGCTACGGCGCTCTGAGCTGATTAGTTTTCTCGCTACAGGCATTCTAGATTAGAAATTCTGATTTCTTACTTTTTAAGCAACTGATGATTTGGTGTTTTATCAGGGTGGGATAACGGGACGACAGCAGTCAGCTGCAGATGCTTCGTATGGAGCTGTAGTCTTCAGTGACTCTGATGGCAGATGTCCCAACGTGACCACAAGTCAATGTTTTGTCTCACCAGGTGACTCTTTATTATGGAAATGAACCAATAAGTCTAACTGTGAAATTTAGACTTTATTTTTCTTT